CCTGACCTGCCAAGAGATCTGCTCAAGCTGACACACGAAGCCTTGTCTCACCACTTCTCTTTTCTTCAGCACATTTTGTTTTTAATGCAAACTTGTCAGTAAGTGACAAAATCAGTCAGTGTAGAGTTTCATACAATCCACAATTCAAACCCATCAGAGGTGGAAAACAGCTGGAATGGATCTCCACTCTGTCAAAGACCAGACACTGTTAGCGTCGCACCCAGCCCGTTTGACACTCGGCCAGTTTTACATAGTGTAAATAACAGTTACCAACGGCTCTCTCAGAAAGCAAGGGAGACTCATTAGCCAGTCTAATCTCTAAATGAAATGCTAAACAGGACTCATAAGCTTTGAAGAGCTGATTACACTTCTCATAGTTAATTCATCATTAGTAGATTAATAGTAGTAGAGTTATGGTCGAGTCACACCAATACAATCCCTCAGTCACCCCACACCAAGTGTTTGGTTTCAGCATGGGTGTTAACAATATCACTGTTGTTTTTCTCCTAGATAAAAACATCAGCCTCTGTTGAAGACTGCACTTCGTCTCTGAGCATCAAGCTGGTTGAAACGTACAGGCAGGTCTGACAACTGACCAGCAATTCAAAAGTGACTTGAATGGAAATACAGCATGCACCACCCCTGGTGTAGCTCCCTCAGGAACCCACGACACGTCACCCTGTCATCGGCGATAAAGGTTTGTTCGCACACAACAAGTACCTGACCGAGTGTCAACGCTGCCCAAGTGAGGTGGTGCACGCAGCCACCATGCAGTGGAGGCGGCGCCACTGCTGCACGCACATCGCCAGGCTCCTGGCTCTCCTCTCGTTGCTGGGGGTCCTGGTCATCCTGAGCCATCAGGACTGGCTGCTGGGCATCAAGGGCTCAACATGGCAGAGGGAGAACCCAGTGGCTTACACTGAGGGAGGAGGACTACACTTTAAAGACAAAGGGAATCACAGCTCCTCACAGATTCTATGGAGGGCGACTAATGCTAGCTTGAGCGGAGAGGTCGGGCTAGGGGGCCTGCTGACCTCGGAACCCTACCCTTACATCATCAACGAGCCCAACAAGTGCCAGGAGGGTGACCCAGCGCCATTCCTGGTACTGCTGATAGTCACGGAGGCCCAGCAAGTGGAGGCCAGGGAGGCCATCCGGCAAACATGGGGAAACGAGAGTGTGGTCCCGGGCCTTGTCCGGCTCTTCCTGCTGGGCGTGAAGGAGGGTGAGGTGGGCCGCCTGCAGCAGAGCAGCCTGGAGGCAGAGAGCCGGAGGCACCATGACATCATCCAGCAGGACTACATGGACACGTACAACAACCTGACCATCAAAACCCTGATGGGCATGCACTGGGTGGCCGCGCACTGCCCGGGCGCCAACTACGTCATGAAGACAGACAGTGACATGTTTGTCAACACCGAGTATCTCGTCCACAAGCTGCTCCGGCCCGAAATTCAGCCCAAACGGGACTACTTCACAGGCTACCTGATGAGGGGCTATATTCCCAACAGGAACAAGGAAAGCAAGTGGTACATGTCCCCCGAGCTGTATCCCAGTGAGAGGTACCCCACCTTCTGCTCAGGAACTGGCTACGTGTTCTCGGGGGACCTGGTGGGGAAGATCTACAGGGCCTCTCTGGGCATTCGCAGGCTGCATCTGGAGGACGTCTACGTGGGCATCTGCCTGGCCAAGCTGCGGATCGAACCCACGCCACCGCCCAATGAGTTCCTGTTCAACCACTGGCGGGTGTCCTACTCCAGCTGCAGGTACAGCCACCTTATCACCTCCCACCAATTTCAACCCAACGAACTGCTCAAGTACTGGCACCACCTCCAGCGCAACAAGCACAACGCCTGCATCAACACGTCCAAAGTCTAGATGGGCAGGTTTCACCAGAGGAGACTTCAGGGGTACAGCCTATTTGGTGACAGAGGATCATGGGTGATGTTTGATCATGGCCTGTGCAGGAGTCACTGGCAAGATGTAACCGAGTAAAGCACATGTTTTTGGACAAACTAATGGTTGACGGCAGTCTTTTTTTTTTTTACTGCCACTATAGTTGTTTTTTATACATACATTAATTGATTGTAGAAATGGATGCGTCGGTGTACAGAGGAAGACCTGAATTAAGGCCGCTATACACTTCATGCAAACAGCGCGACATAGCGTCATATACAGGCCGTTCCAAAATTTAAGCCACACAAAAGTACATAGAACTAAATCAAATCAAAATGTGTCAAATGTGCCAAATACAACAGGTGTAGACCTTACAGTGAAATGTTTCCTTACAAGCAAATAGTCTGGGTAGCCATCTGATTAGATGTTCAGGAGTCTTATGGCTTGGGGGTAGAAGCTGTTTAGAAGCATCTTGGACCTAGACTTGGCGCTCCGGTACTGCTTGCCGTGCGGTAGCAGAGAGAACAGTCTATGACTAGAACCTTCCTCTGACACCGCCTGGTATAGAGGTCCTGGATGGCAGGAAGCTTGGCCCCAGTGATGTATTGGGCTGTACGCACTACCCTCTGTAGTGCCTTGCGGTCGGAGGCCGAGCAGACCAATGCCAAATCTTTTCAGTCTCCTTAGGTTTTGTTGTGCCCTCTTCATGACTGTCTTGGTGTGCTTGCACCATGATAGTTTGTTGGTGATGTGGACACCAAGGAACTTGAAGCTCTCAACCTGCTCCACTACAGCCACGTCAATGAGAATGGGGGCGTGCCCGGTCCTCTTCTTATTCCTGTAGTCCACAATCATCATCTTTGTCTTGATCACGTTGAGGTAGAGGTTGTGTTCCTGGCACCACATGGCCAGGTCTCTGACCTCCTCCCTATAGGCTGTCGCATCGTCTGTGATCAGGCCTACCACTGTTGTGTCATCGGCAAACTTAATGATGGCGTTGGAGTCGTGCCTGGCCATGCAGTCATGAGTGAACAGGGATTATAGAAGGGGACTGAGCACGCACCCCTGAGAGGCCCCCGTGTTGAGGATCAGCGTGGCGGATGTGTTGTTACCTACCCTTACCACCTGGGGGTGGCCCGTCAGGAAGTCCAGGATACAGTTGCAGAGGGAGGTGTTTAGTCCCAGGGTCCTTAGCTTAGTGATGAGCTTTGAGGGCACTATGGTGTTGAACGCTGAGCTGTAGTCAATGAATAGCATTCTCAAGTAGGTGTTTCTTTTGTCCAGGTGTGAAAGGGCAGTGTGGAGCGCAATAGAGATCGCATAATCTGTGGATCTGTTGGGGCGTTATGCAAATTGGAGTGGGTCTAGGGTTTCTGGGATAATGGTGTTGATGTGAGCCATGATCAGCCTTTCAAAGCACTTCATGGCTACAGGCGTGAGTGCTACGGGTCGGTAGTCATTTAAGTAGGTTACCTTAGTGTTCTTGGGCACAGGGACTATGGTGGTCTGCTTGAAACATGTTGGTATTACAGACTCAGACAGTGAGAGGTTGAAAATGTCAGTGAAGACACTTGCCAGTTGGTCAGCGCATGCTCGGAGTACACGTCCTGGTAATCCATCTGTTCCTGTGGCCTTGTGAATGTTGACTTATTTAAAGGTCTTACATCGGCTACGGAGAGCGTGATCACAAGGACGAGGGAGAGCTTTGTACGCGTCTCTGTGTGTGGAGTAAAGGTGGTCTAGAGTTTTTTTCCCTCTGGTTGCACATGTAACATGCTGGTAGAAATGATGTAAAACGTATTTAAGTTTCCCTGCATTAAAGTCCCCGGCCACTAGGAGCGTCACCTCTGGATGAGCGTTTTCCTGTTTGCTTATGGCCGTATACAGTTGAGTGCGGTCTTAGTGCCAGCATTGGTTTGTGGTGGTAAATAGACAGCTACTAAGAATAGATGAAAACTCTCTTGGTAGATAGTGTGGTCTACAGCTTATCATGAGATACTCTACCTCAGGCAAGCAAAACCTTGAGACTTCCTTAGATATTGTGCACCAGCTGTTTACAAATATACATAGACCGCCACCCCTTGTCTTACCAGAGGCTGCTGTTCTATCCTGCTGATACAGTGTATAACCCGCCAGCTGTATGTTATTCATGTCTTCGTTCAGCCACGACTCGGTGAAACATAAGATAATACCGTTTTTAATGTCCCGTTGGTAGGATATACGTGCTTGTAGTTCATCCACTTTATTATCAAGCAATTGTAAGTTGGCCAATAGTATCGATTGGCAAAGGCAGATTAGCCACTTGTCGGCGGCTCCTTACAAGGCACCCCGATCTCTTTCCGCGATATCTCCTTTTCTTTCTACTGCGAATGACGGGGATGAGGGCCCTGTCGGGTGTCTGGAGCATATCCCTCTCGTCAGACCCTTTAAATACAAATTATTTGTCCAGTTCAAGGTGAGTAATCGCTGTTCTGATGTCCAGAAGCTCTTTTCGGTCATAAGAGAGGGTAGCAGCAACATTACATACAAAATAAGTTACAAACAATGCGAAAAAACACACAACATAGCACAGTTGGTTAAGAGTCCATAAAACGGCAGCCATCCCCTCCGGCGCCATTATGTTTACTACATGTCAAATATGGGCTGTAGCTGCGTTTGTGTGAAGGGCCCACCCCGATTCCAGGCTGTATCACAACCGGCCGTGATTGGGAGTCCCATAGGGCGGCGCACAATTGGCCCAGCGTCGTCCGGGTTTGGCCGGTGTAGGCCGTCATTGTAAATAAGAATTTGTTAACTGACTTGCCTAGTTAAGTAAAGGTAAAATAAAATAAAAATATGTGAATAGTGGATACTGATACATCTTAGACTGTATTGGTGGACTGTCACTGTCCGGTATCCATTTTGTTCAACTTGGGTTTAAATAATTTCCTTCTTTTTTTTTTTTTAATGTTGTGTTTCAAAGAGCCTTCAAGGGTACTTCAATTATTCCCCCCAAAAGATTGTTGGGCATACCTGAGCATTCTCAAAACGGTGGTAAAACCACTTCTAGTGCCAATAAAAAGTGTGAAGTATCAAAAAAAAACAAAAAGGAACATTGAATCATCTCACAAGTAGCAGTTGAGCTGCAGGAAGAATGAAGGGCAGGAAATCTGCAAGAGCAGAGAATTTAGTTGAAAGAGGAAACAGATGTGGGTGGTACACAGGGCATAAATTAACACCTGCCAAATGAGTAGATTTAGGTATTGGCGGGTAAGAATGTGTATTTCACCAGCCACAGGGCCCTACAGTGCAAGCATTACATGTGTGAATAAAAATTGTCAAAAGTCAAGTACAAGCACATGTACGAGTTAGAAAACTGCTGCAGTATTTGTTTTCAAAGTACTTCTGCTGTTTTGTTTCATAGCTACTAATTGCACAAATAAATACTAATCTTATATCCCACCTCGCGCAGCAACACTGACTGGCAGGGGAGCTGAGCTCACTGAGTGAAGTACTGATAGATTAATTTTTGGATGAGCTGCGAACAGGCATTTACTCAAAAGTCTACAAAGTGAGACTGTCCTCGTGTTTCTTGGCTATTTACAGTGGGGAGAACAAGTATTTGATACACTGCCAATTTTGCAGGTTTTCCTACTTACAAAGCATGTAGAGGTCTGTCATTTCTATCATAGGTACACTTCAACCAAAATCCAGAAAATCACATTGTATGATTTTTAAGTAATTAATTTGCATTTTATTGCATGACATAAGTATTTGATCACCTACCAACCAGTAAGAATTACGGCTCTCACAGACCTGTTAGTTTTTCTTTAAGAAGCCCTCCTGTTCTCCACTCATTACCTGTATTAACTGCACCTGTTTGAACTCGTTACCTGTATAAAAGACACCTGTCCACACACTCAAACAGACTCCAACCTCTCCACAATGGCCAAGACCAGAGCTATGTAAGGACATCAGGGATAAAATTGTAGACCAGCACAAGGCTGGGATGGGCTACAGGACAATAGGCAAGCAGCTTGGTGAGAAGGCAACAACTGTTGGCGCAATTATTAGAAAATGGAAGAAGTTCAAGATGACGGTAAATCACCCTCGGTCTGGGGCTCCATGCAAGATCTCACCTCGTGGGGCATCAATGATCATGAGGAAGGTGAGGGATCAGCCCAGAACTACACCTGGTCAATGACCTGAAGAGAGCTGGGACCACAGTCTCAAAGAAAACCATTAGTAACACACTACGCCGTCATGGATTAAAATCCTGCAGCGCACGTAAGGTCCCCCTGCTCAAGCCAGCGCATGTCCAGGCCCGTCTGAAGTTTGCCAATGACCATCTGGATGATCCAGAGGAGGAATGGGAGAAGGTCATGTGGTCTGATGAGACAAAAATAGAGCTTTTTGGTCTAAACTCCACTCGCCGTGTTTGGAGGAAGAAGAAGGATGAGTACAACCCCAAGAACACCATCCTAACCGGGAAGCATGGAGCTGGAAACATCGTTCTTTGGGGATGCTTTTCTGCAAAGGGGACAGGACGACTGCACCGGATTGAGGGGAGGATGGATGGGGCCATGTATCGCGAGATCTTGGCCAACAACCTCCTTCCCTCAGTAAGAGCATTGAAGATGGGTCGTGGCTGGGTCTTCCAGCATGACAACGACCCGAAACACACAGCCAGGGCAACTAAGGAGTGGCTCCGTAAGAAGCATCTCAAGGTCCTGGAATGGCCTAGCCAGTCTCCAGACCTGAACCCAATAGAACATCTTTGGAGGGAGCTGAAAGTCTGTATTGCCCAGCGACAGCCCCGAAACCTGAATGATCTGGAGAAGGTCTGTATGGAGGAGTGGGCCAAAATCCCTGCTGCAGTGTGTGCAAACCTGGTCAAGACCTACAGGAAACGTATGATCTCTGTAATTGCAAACAAAGGTTTCTGTACCAAATATTAAGTTCTGCTTTTCTGATGTATCAAATACTTATGTCATGCAATAAAATGCAAATTAATTACTTAAAAATCATACAATGTGATTTTCTGGATTTTTGTTTTAGATTCCATCTCTCACAGTTGAAGTGTACCTATGATGAAAATTACAGACCTCTACATGCTTTGTAAGTAGGAAAACCTGCAAAATCAGCAGTGTATTAAATACTTGTTCTCCCCACTTTTAAATTAAATACTTGTTCTCCCCAATTGTTTTGTTCACAAGCTTGGTTGTTTTTCAACATTAGTTTGAGTCTGCTGCTTCAACTGAGAGCAAAGAGCTGTTGCTCAGATCCCAAATCTCATGCACACAGGATTTGAGTGGCTCCATTACCACAGTAACCTCCTGCAATTAAAGGGGCAGCTTTTTGTTTTAGAAACATTACAAAGCATGGTCATCTGTATTTTTTATTTTATTTGTATGTAATTATGGCCCAAGAAATGTTGGCTGGTAAAACATCAGATTGGCTTGTAGGGGGCTACCTGCCAGTGGCTGGTGGACCAAAAATGAAATTTTAGACCCTTGTGGTACACCAAAAACCAAGAGTGGTAACAGACATTTAAAATCAGGTTATACATTTTTCAGCCAATTGCAGAGAGAAAAATAATGAAAACTCCTTGGACAATGCTCAGCCTGAGGGCACCCCACCCCCATCAATGACAATCAGCTATGCAGAGAGAGAGAGTACGTCTGGCTGGAAATTGAATCGTTCTTATAATAATAATAATAATATGCCATTTAGCAGACGCTTTTATCCAAAGCGACTTACAGTCATGCGTGCATAATTTTTTTTTTGTGTATGGGTGGTCCCGGGGTCGTTGATAGTACTGTGGTAAAAGTGCAAAGCCACTTCAAGGGTGTAGCCAACATTTGTGTGAAAGTGCCTTGACACGTCAAGGGTGTAGCCAACATTTGTGTGAAAGTGCCTTGACACGTCAAGGGTGTAGCCAACATTTGTGTGAAAGTGCCTTGACACGTCAAGGGTGTAGCCAACATTTGCGAAAGGTCTTTCTAGCGTGCCATGTTACCATAGTGAAGAAACAGAACACTTACATGCTACAGTTCGGTTGTTACACAGCTGTTAAACGTTACGGTAGACACAATGTAGTTGTAGCTATGTAACAAATAGCTGAAAACACAACGTTGTAATAGAATGAAACGCACTAAAAATAAATAGTTCAGCCTAGTAAATGAGTCAGAAAGGAGATGTCTACATGGTGAGTTATCCTATGCATAACCCTTCATCCATTTTCACACAATTCAGAGTAATTCTATTCTGCTTTGTGAATGAACTTTCTTCAGAAGCAATGTTCTGTGAAATGTATGAAAATGATGCCTTGAGATGAACTGAAACCACAGCAACGGCTAGGTAGAATTTCAGAATGATAAAGCTGGTAGAAACACACTGAAATGAGACCACTGCACTGTGTGTGTGGATGAGGAAGACAAAGCTGCTTGACCTAGGTTTGCCCATTTGTTGAGATGTCACTGAGCCGTGACATGTTCCCCTGTCCTCTGTGGTTCCCTGCAAGCAGCACCTGGAACCCGATCTCATGGGCAGCCTCTGGGTACATTTACATTTTAGTCATTTAGCAGACGCTCTTATCCAGAGCGACTTACAGTTAGTGAATACATATTTTTTTTTATACTGGCCCCCCGTGGGAATCGAACCCACAACCCTGGCGTTTATCACAGGCCCAAAGACCTGCCACCACAGAGGTGGAGTGAGCCAACAGTACACTCCCGAGTGGCGCAGCAGTCTAAGGCACTGCATCTCAGTGCTAGAGGCGTCACTACAGACCCTGGTATCACAATCCGGCCCGTGATTGGCAGTCCCATAGCGTGGCGCACAATTGGCCCAGCGTCGTCCGTGTTTGGCCGGGGTAGGCCGTCATTGTAAATAAGAATTAGTTCTTAACTGACTTGCCTAGTTAAATAAAGGTTAAATAAATAAAAAAACATTTTAAACAAATGGGCTGGGCTGGGCAGGGCACAGAGCAACAATATGCCTCAATCTTTGGGTGATAGGCTAGTCACTGAAGCCAATCAGTGCAACATGAGTAAGAAATTGACTTGCGTGTTTGCACCTGCTATTTTCCACAGTATGTCATCATTTAAAACAGATTGTTAACATTTAAAGTAGATATTATTAATATCCGTTTACTTTCACTTTGTTGTGGTTCTAGCGCCATGTCTCATTTATAGCATGGTACATGCAATGCTGGGGTTGTTTGGTTCCTGCATGGAGTAAACATACTGAATCTATACTACCAGTCAAATGTTTGGACACCTACTCATTCAAGGATTTTTCTTTATTTTTACATTGTAGAATAATAGTGAAGACATAAAAACTATGAAATAACACATATGGAATCATGTAGTAACCAAAACAAGTGTTAAAATCAAAAATATATTTGATATTTGAGATTCTTCAAATTGCCACAATGACAGCTTTGCACACTCTTGGCATTATCTCAACCAGCTTCATGAGGTAGTCACCTGGAATGCATTTCAATTAACAGGTGTGCCTTCTTAAAGGTTAATTTGTGGAATTTCTTTCCTTCTTAATGCATTTGAGCCAATTAGTTGTGTTGTGACAAGCTAGGGGGGTATACAGAGGATAGCCCACATTATGGCAAGAACAGCTCAAATAAGCAAAGAGAAACTTACTTTAAGACATGAAGGTCAGTCAATACGGAAAATGTCAAGAACTGTTAAAGTTTCTTCAAGTGCAGTCGCAAAAACCATCAAGCGCTATGATGAAACTGGCTCTCATGAGGACCGCCACAGGAATGGAAGACCCAGAGTTACCTCTGCTGCAGAGGATAAGTTCATTAGACTTACCAGCCTCAGAAATTGCAGCCCAAATAAATTCTTCACAGAGTTCAAGTAACAGACATCTCAACATCAACTGTTCAGCGGAGACTGCGTGAATCAGGCCTTCAAGGTCAAATTGCTGTAAAGAAACCACTATTAAAGGACACCAATAAGAAGAAGAGACTTGCTTGGGCCAAGAAACACGAGCAATGGACATTAGAAATGTGTCCTTTGGTATGGAGTCCAAATTTGAGATTTTTGGTTCCAACCGGCGTGTCTTTGTGAGACGCGGTTTAGGTGAACGGATGATCTCCACATGTGTATTTCCCACCGTAAAGCATGGAGGAGGTGGTGTTATGGTGCTTTGCTGGTGACACTGTCTGTGATTTCCTTAGAATTCAAGGCACACTTAACCAGCATGGCTACCACAGCATTCTGCAGCGATACACCATCTCATCTGGTTTGGGCTTAGTGGGACTATCATTTGTTTTTCAACAGGGCAATGACCCAACACACCTCCAGGATGTGTAAGGGCTATTTTACCAAGAAGGAGAGTGATGGAGTGCTGCATCAGATGACCTGGCCTCCATAATCCCCCAACCTTAACCCAATTGAGATAGTTTGGGATGAGTCGGACCGCAGAGTGAAGGAAAAGCAGCCAACAAGTGCTCAGCATATATGGGAACTCCTTCAAGACTGTTGGAAAAGCATTCCAGGTGAAGCTGGTTGAGAGAATGCCAAGAGTGTCCAAAGCTGTCATCAAGGCAAAGGGTGGCTATTTGAAGAATCTCAAATATAACAAATATTTTGATTTGTTTAACACTTTTTTGGTTACTACATGATTCCATATGTGTTATTTCATAGTTTTGATGTCTTCACTATTATTCTACAATGTATAAAATAGTAAAAATGAAGAAAAACCCTTGAATGAGTAGGTGTCCAAACTTTTGACTGGTACTGTATGTTAAACTATAAGCAGACTAGGGTAGCAGAAGACGAAAGGATGGTCTTACCGTCACAGACTTCAGGGTCATGCCGTGGTATGTTCCCATGGTGTCAATCTTGAAACCCTCAGTTTCTAAGGACACAATTAGTCAATCAGTAATGCATCTTACTTTTTATATTAAAATGGTTAAAAAATGATTGGTATCTTCATTTGTTCATTACTGTGTAAGGAAATGAAATGGATAACACGCTACAATATATATATTTACTTTACAAAGTAAAGCACCATCTATGAACATACAGTGCCCCTTGACTTTAACCATATTTTGCTACGTTACAGCCTTATTCTAAAATTGATTAAATAAATAAAAATTCCTCATCAATCTACACACAATACCCCATAAAGCACACTGGGAAGCTGGACAGAAATCCATATTGTGATAAATGGCCTGCATTGATGCAATAACAATAAATAGAACGACAAGTTTATAACATTCATGTGCAGTAGTTTTCTTTAAACTACTGCTTGTTTTATGATTGTAGCCATCAATTGTCCCACTAACAATCACCCATAGTAGCAAACTTCTTTGATTTCAAACTTCACATTTCTCTAGCATAGGCTACTTATCGTAATGAACGATATCAGCAAAATGCCTGCAATAAGTGATAATTTTATCATCCCAGCTCCACCACTCACCCTCTTTTCCTTTGAATCTCTCCTGATCGTATCGGTTATAGGCAGCTGGGACAGGCTGTTTGATCCTTATGGATGGATCCTTGAGGGGAGACAAGAGGTTACACTTAAAACACAGGTCATTTCCAATTAATGATCCACAGAGACTATAATATTGGAGAGTTCAGTGGTAATAATACACTCAACCATGCTTCCAAGGGTTAAATACTCATTGACCTTTTTCTGGAGAAGCTCCAAGTTAATTGCATGCTCCATTTCTTTGAGAAATTAGAACAGGGAGGCATTCATTGATTTTATGGAATTCGTCAGCAAGAGCCTTTACTGGTTAAGGATGTCATTCTCAATTACGCATTTTTACATCACAATGGCAAAAATTTATCACATGGCTGGATTCCTAGGATGCAAAAGTGTGTATCCAAAATCAAACTATGATGGTACATCCCCATCAGTGTGCATCCAAAATCAAACTATGATGGTACATCCCCCATCAGTGTGCATCCAAAATCAAACTATGATGGTACATCCACATCAGTGTGCATCCAAAATCAAACTATGATGGTACATCCACATCAGTGTGCATCCAAAATCAAACTATGATGGTACATCCCCATCAGTGTGCATCCAAAATCAAACTATGATGGTACATCCGCATCAGTGTGCATCCAAAACCAAACATGGGCTGTTCCTTACCACCTGAGTGGTGTTCTGTGCTGGTCTCTGCTCAGGGGCCCGTCCCTCCTCCCTGGCCTTCACCGATTGCAGGATGGCAAAGATGTTTTTGGAGAAGTTCTGCAAGAGCAAAAGATGTATCAGCACAGTGTAAACGGTAGGTGAGACATCTACTGTTCTGTTTAATAAGAGAACAGCAGATGTACCCTACCAAACCAATACATTTCCCTTGACGTGATGCTGCCACCTGCAGGCGTTAAAGAACAATGAAGTGTGAAAACAGATGAGCCAAAGATTGTTGATCACGATAACATAGCACTATACACACACGTACACATGGATTTTGTGTTATAGATACGTGGTAGTAGAGTAGAGGCCTGAGGGCACACACTTAATACGTTGTGAAATCTGTTATGAATGTATTGTAATATTTTTAAAATGTATAACTGCCTTAATTTTGCTGGACCTCAGGAAGAGTAGCTGCTGCCTTGGCAACCATAATAAATACAAATAAGCTATGGATATGGACCATTGCCTCCACCCTTCAAGGCTAGGATTGGGGAAGCTGATCCTAAGTCGGTAACCACAGGTAACGTCTACATGGAGTGAATACGTGTGTTCTTCCCATGTGGCCGGGTTCCTCCTAATAATGTCCAGATGTCCATCTCATTACCTTAACCCATCAGAGTCTAAGCCGGGGGGGTTCTACTAAGCTATATGGAAATTGTTTTAAGAAGTTCATACCAAGGATAATTTAGCTATTTGATTTTGAATTTTAAGACCCCTTGAAGTATAAAACAAATATATTAAAAAATGATTTGATGAAAAAGTATTTTTGCCTTACTGCTATTAGCCCATACAAATACATTGCCTAACAGATTCACTACATGGAACAACAGATAGTCCCCCCAAAAAATATCAAAAGGAAGTTTGTTCTGAAGTGTGTCTACTATAATTGTTTTTTTTAACATGTATTTAACCCCATATTTTTGGCACTAAACAGTCTTTAAATACTTCCATACATTTTTTTCAACTGGTACAGGGGGACCTTCAGACGAGTCTTGTGAGGCCTGTGGGTGTCCTAGAGCAAAACATGTACATGTTTGTGAGACACTCACCTTTGCACAGAGGGGTCATATTAGTGCGTAGCCCAAACGGGTCTGAAACTACAAACAGAAGTTGGCAGATCGGTTGTACCAACTTCAGACGAGTCTCCTGACACTTGTGGAGGTCATAGAGCAAAACGGAGAACACCATCGTGTTCATGAGCCTCTCATAGAGGGGGTCATAATAGTTTGTAGGCCAAAACATTCGAACGCTACGTACGATTTTGTGAAAATACCTATTTTCAGGGTGTCTCATGGTCTGACAAACACTGCTCTAGCTCTGTAACCTTTCACCGCAGATGCAGAAGTGCAACTTAGGCGGATGAGGTTGACTAACAACAGGGGCACGGAAATCAACCATAGGGGGTTAAAGACAGCATGACCCTTGCGCAGCCCCCCCCATCATAGCCAGTCTAGGGATTGACCTCTGACCTTTCCAGTGCTCTGTAGGATGGTGGTCCTGGTCCTCCACACCCGCTCCCTGCTGACTATGTCCCTGGTCACGTCCACCTCGGCATCAACAAAGCTCCTCTGCTTCAGGGTGATGTCCTCATCCAGGTCTGTCTTGATGGTGGAGCGCTTCTTGGCCATGATCTTGGCTTTGATGGCGGCGATCTTCTCCACGGACATGGCCTCGGACAGTGACCTGGGGTCAGAGATGATTTCTGTTAACCCTTATTTCACCAGGTAAACTGATAGAACACATTAATAATGAGGTGGGTGTTTATATTTGTCCTATTTCACATGTAGAAGTGTGTATTATACACGTGTGTGAATTGGAAATGTGTTTTTAGCATATCCTAACTCTCCCTGAGATCATCATTTAGAGGAAAAAAAATCTAATAAAATGCTAAGTTGCCTCGAGTAGAAATGAATGTTCGGGGTTGATTGAGCAGAACATTTAAATAGTGCAGTGTTTAGTGAATAAAGCAAGGTTCCTGGTTTGTGTTTACGTCTGCCTGCTCTCATTGGGATACCTTAGCATCTTTAAAACCGGTGTAGCAACGGTGAATGGCTTCATGATAATTGCCCACTTTTTGTAACTATGGTCGTTCAATAACAGTGCCTTCATACCCATCCTAACGCTGGTCATAAGACAGTGATAAGAGCTCTCCTCAAGCCAACAGCAGATTATAAATTATTAGTTACTTTCATCCATTGATTAGGACATACACTACCAGTCACAAGTTTGGACACCTACTCATTCAAGGGTTTTTCTTTATTTTTTACTATTTTCTACATTGTAGAATAATAGTGAAGACATCACAACTATGAAATAACACATATGGAATCATGTAGTAAACAAAAGAAGTGTTAAACAAATCAAAATATATGTTTTATTTGAGATTCTTCAAATTAGCCACCCTTTGCCTTGATGACAGCTTTGCACACTCTTGGCATTCGCTCAACCAGCTTCATGAGGTAGTCACCTAAACAAAGGAGATGATCATGGACTTCAGGAAACAACAGAGGGTGCACCCCGCTATCCACATCGACGGGACCGAGGTGGAAAGCTTCAAGTTCCTTGGCGTACACATCACTGACAAACTGAAATGGACCACCCACACAGACAAGTGTGGTGAAGAAGGTGCAACAGAACCTCTTCAACCTTAGGAGGCTAAAGAAATTTGGCTTGGCACCTAAAACTTTTACAGATGCACAATTGACAGCATCCTGTCGGGCTGTATCATCGCCTGGTACGGCAACTGCGCCGCCCGCAACCGCAAGGCTCTCCAGAGGGTGGTGCGGTCTGCACAACGCATTACCAGGGGCAAACTACCCACCCTCCAGGACACCTACAGCACCCAATGTCACAGGAAGGCCAAAAAGATCATCAAGGACATCAATCACCCAAGCCACTGCCTGTTCACCCCGCTATCATACAGAAGGCGAGGTCAGTACAGGTGCATCAAAGCTGGGACCGAGAGACTGAAAAACAGCTTCTATCTCAAGGCCATCAGACTATTAAACAGCCATCACTAGCACATTAGAGGCTGCTGCTGCTGCCTATTGAAATCACTGGCCACTTTAAGAAATGGAACACTAGCCACGTTAATAATGTTTACATATCTTGCATTACTCATCTCATATGTATATTCTGTACTCTATACTATTCTACTGTATCTTAGTCCATGCCGCTCTGACATCGCTCATCCATATATGTATATAGTCTTAATTCATTCCTTATTTAGATGTGTGTATTGGGTATATGTTGTGAAATTGTTAGATATTACTGCACTGTTGGAGCTAGAAGCACAAGCATTTCGCTACACCCGCAATAACATCTGCTAAACATGTATATGTGACCAATACAATTTGATTTGAATGCATTTCAATTAACAGGTGTGCCTTGTTAAAAGTTACATTTGTGGAATTTCTTTCCTTCTTAATGCGTTTGAGCCAATCAGTTGTGTTGTGACAAGGTAGGGGTGGTATACAGAAGATAGCCCTATCTGGTAAAAGACCAAGTCCATATTATGGCAAGAACAGCTCAAATAAGCAAAGAGAAACGACAGTCCATCATTACTTTAAGACATGAAAGTCAGTAAATCCAGAAAATGTCAAGTTTCTTCAAGTGCAGTCGCAAAAACCATCAAGCGCTATGATGAAACTGGCTCTCATGAGGATCGCCACAGGAAAAGAAGACCCAGAGTTCTCTCTGCTGCAGAGGATAAGTTAATTAGAGTTAACTGCACCTCAGATTGCAGCCCAAATAAATGCTTCACTGAGTTCAAGTAACAGACACATCTCAACATCAACTGTTCAGAGGTCGAATTGCTGCAAAGAAACCACTACCAAAGGCCACCAATAAGAAGAAGAGACTTGCTTGGGCCAAGAAACACGAGCAATGGACATTAGACCGGTGGAAATCTGTCCTTTGGTCTGATGAGTCCAAATTTGAGATGCTTGGTTCCAACCGCCGTGTCTTTGTGAGACGCAGAGAAGATGAACGGATGATCTCTGCATGTGTGGTTCCCACCGTGAAGCATGGAGGTGGTGGTGTGGGGTTGCTTTGTTGGTGCCACTGTCAGTGATTTATTTAGAATTCAAGGCACACTTAACCAGCATGGCTACCACAGCATTCTGCAGCGATATGCCATCCCATCTGGTTTGGGCTTAGTGGGACTATCATTTGTTTTTCAACAGGACAATGACCCAACACACCTCCAGGCTGTGTAAGGGCTATTTGACCAAGAAGGAGAGTGATGGAGTGCTGCATCAGATGACTGGCCTCCACAATCCCCCGACCTCCACCCAATTGAGATGGTTTGGGATGAGTTGGACCGAAGAGTGAAGGAAAAGCAGCCAACAAGTGCTCAGCATATGTGTGAACTCCTTCATGACTGTTGGAAAAGCATTCCAGATGAAGCTGGTTGAGAGAATGCCAAGAGTGTGCAAAGCTGTCATCAAGGCAAAGGGTGGCTACTTTGAAGAATCTAAAATCCAAAATATATTCGTATTTTTTTAACACTTTTTTTGTTTACTACATGATTCCATAGTTTTGATGTCTTCACTATTATTCTACAATGTAGAAAATAGTACAAATAAAGACAAACCCTTGAATGAGTAGGTATGTCCAAACTTTTGACTGGTAATGTATATTTTGGGTTTATTGCGCTTTGGTATTTTTAACAAACCTATACTCGCAATTCAGCTTGATGCTGCCAGCTGCACTATGTTGTTGAACAGTTAAAAAAAAAAAAAAAAAAAACTCTCCTCTTTTCAAAATAAAGGTGACTGGATTATGGAAGGGTGTAGGCGCCTCATACCTGATCTGGTCAGTTTGCACTATGCCCTCTTTGTGGCCTTCCAGTCTAGCAGCCAGACGCTCCTTGTCCAGTCGCACTCGTTCCTCATCCTAGAGAACGACAGAATGTGGTAAAATGCTCTGTTTGATGAAAGACCATCATGTATTCAATTTCTCTGCAGGGATCATTTTCTCAAAATGTATGAATTCAGGATGAAACAGGATTTTTGTAGAGGATTCCTTTTGAGATGAGGAGTATGTTCTATAAATAATTATTGAGCTGAGGAATCCGAATGGTGCAGGTCAAAGATATTACATACCTCAATCCTTGGTTTTTTGGCTTCAGATGACACCTCATCTGCTGCTCGTTTGACTGAGGATGCAATAAAGGTATAATTATAATATAATAACTGTGCAAAATGATGCAATACCTTTTCAATTCTTATCTTCACAATATCTAAAATGACTTGCTTTTTACTTCTCTATTTTAGTGTCTCACCAAGCTGATTACACATGTGCAACAGGCCAATGGAGAACAAAATAGCATATTAGGCCTTAAAGCATGGACTGTTGATATATCAGTTTCAAGGGAACATATTTTCTAATATGCATGGATTAAATCATCCAATCAATGGAAGAGTTGTCATATTCAAAATGCTTAAACTACCTTGCGTTGTCCTTTGCAAACCAATCTCTATGGGGGCACTTCTGTCGATACTTGTCGAAGTAGCTGTGAAGACAAATCAGAGTGGAAATTGCTTTCGTACAATGATCTCAGTGGAATTAACATGCACATTAATTTCACTGTGTTAAATCTGATTTTTATTTGTTTTCAATTTATACTTACAACTTTCCCCATTGAGATAGGACAGTAAGCCCTTTCGATCAGGTCTTCTGACAACCGGAATGTTCTCTGTCTAGGGGGTGATCATAAAACCATGTAAATCACAATGAAATATTACACAATTTACAAAGGTCACTACAAAGCCTCATGCAATGACAACCAATAGACCACTGGCAACACTGAGTTCGAAGACAGAACATCCATGGCAGCAGTATTTAATTAACTCTATACAACTCTCGCTTGTAGTGAGGGCATTAAGTTTACTTACTGCAGCCCTTCGCACGTAGGATGGATGAGGGAGATGCACATTGTTGAGCAGGAACAAAATGGAGTCCAGAGTATAGTACTCCTTGGGCTGACCCTCCTTCCCAGTTCTGAAAATCGAAAATAAAAATTACATTCAGCTTTAGGGTTGCAAAATTCCATTAACTTTCCCCAAATTCCTAGGTTTTCCAGAAATCCTTGTTAGAAGATTCCCAGAATCAACATGAAATACGGAATCCTCAGACCAGGATTTCTGGAAAAACCAGGGAACTTTGGGAAAGTTAGTTATCCGAATTTTGCAACCCTAGTCAGCATTGACCAGTAGTTTTGCCCACTGGCTACAGTTGTTTCAGCGAAATCCAGGTCCCCTCTTGTGGAACTAATCTGGAATTTTGTCACAATGCATGCATTAATAGTGCAGGCTTAGAGAAATAGTCAAAATCCTGTATTTTCTTAATGACCTTACACAGAAATAGTGACCAGGACGACTATGTCACAGCTTTTCCATGACACTTCCAACTGGTCCAACTTGTTGGGTTAAGATGAGTTTGTCCAACTATTTCATTTCATATGGCCTGAACGACTGCTGGTTCTGCAAAAACCAGGAACTACTTAGCTAGCTGACGTTAGCAGGCTAGCTGCCTGACACAGAACATCAAGGTAAATGTCTAGCTGGCAAGCTAGAAATGTCAAACATGGTGACAGGTATGGTCACGTGCAGTAAATCAGTAATAGCTAGCTGCAATACCGTAACTTAACTACCGCGGGTTTGCAAGCAAGACAGCTGGCTTGCGACAACGTTGCCATTGGTAGTGGCATTTACACAAAGCAATTAGATAGTTAACTAGCGTGCTAGTTAAAAACCCAAAAGAACAATAAACGATAACTGCATTTGCTATCTTTCGGTGAAAATAGTAACTAGCACCTTTTAAACACGGCAAGAAAAGTTTTGGCAACAACAACGTTATCTCGCTACCGTAGCTAACTCGCAATTAGCTATTACTAGCTAGCCTAGCTAGAACAGGCCGGTTGAAGCGAGTAATTTACCAGTTTAAGCTAAATTAACATACCCCCAAATGACATAATTAGTCTTGACATTTTTTGGCCAAGAGAACTCTCCAAAGATAACTTCGTCTCCTTTGGCGACGATTTCTTTTTTCTGGATATTGTATTGGCGAAGAACACTCAACACGTCCGCCATCTTCACTTGTCTTCATGTAACTAGCTAGCTAGCGTGATTGCAAGGCCCCCAGTCACCTATCAACAGAGTGCAATGTGGTCTCACAGAATGCCTGATGCGAATTTCCAGTTGTATTTGTGTTCGGTGTCTATGGATAGGTCTATTCTGAACACAAATTGCATTACATTTAACTTTTTATTTAATTTATAATCTCTGTTCTCTATATATAAATGCATAAATGTTTCTCATGGTTCATTCATGGCCATTATGCCTAAAAAAAGTTTGAGATACTCTACTGAAGAGATTTTAGAGCAAGTTGTTTGCCTTCTCTGTAAAAGGTACATTTTGTAAAGTAAATACACCCGGTAAAGAAATGTACACGAAACACTTTATTAAGGTTTGCATTGACACTATGGCTAATGTAAATGGAATGCAACAAACTGAAATCACATTTCTGTTGAAAGTGAAATTGAGTATTAGTCATGCGACAGTAAGGCCTACATTTAACATTTATTCAATTCAACTTTCTCCATCAATATGGACTGTGGCCATTCTATCTCCACCTGTCAATGTGCCCCACTGTATTCTCTACTACTGCAACTGGCTCCAAAGTATTATTACCTCAGAATGAATGAATTATTAGTCTACAGCATTTTCAAATGTAGCATGTTTTGTTAACTACTTTCACACCGATGTCCTCAAAGATGGGCTGCTATCTCAACTCATGGGGTTGGGACCAATTAGGGTACTGGTGGGTCCTTAACAGACTGACATACTTTGTGCCAGACTTTATATTGCATAAGATGAAATCGACACATATTAAAGTAAAAAGGTATCTTTAGAAATCACAGTTACATGGTCTGAATTTGTTTTGTCTAAATAGGGGTTGATCTGAAATGGCAGAAGACAGAAAATAACAATTCAATAAACCGCAGTTAATACTTTCCACTTACGCTATTGTAGCTTCAGCCATCATTCTCCCATTGAATTGACTGCTAAAAGGTAAAGCATTTTAGTATTATCCCATTTTATTATCCAATATTTGAAGAATTATAAAGCATTGCATTTTAAATCTCTAAAAGGTTACACAAGTATGACAAAGATACATTCAGTAGAATCTATTACATTGGAAAAGTAGCTAGTGAGTTTCTATGGGAACATTAGTAAGTTAGTATTTGTATAACTGACATTCTTACATTAGTGTTTATCATAAACCTCCTACACTGGAATACTTTTAATGTGCGACTAGCAGCTTCAGTCTTCAGACTATTAAATGGCCTTGTTTTGACCTTCAACAACATGATACAACAATGGTAAAAAAAGCCATTGGTAATGCATAAATCACTAGATTCCAGGGTCATGATCATTAAGAACCAAACCGAAAACAGATTGAAACAGGGAGGGACTTCCTGCTCTTGTCCAATAATCAATTTTCATTTTCCGTTGTACAAGATTTTAAAACCTTTTAGAATATCTGCCCTAATGAACATGAACCAGGGAATAAACCCATTTTGCAGGCTTGCTATAAACTGCCAGTGACAATGACTACGATCACTCTCTCATCATGAGTTTGACCTCATCAGAAACACATGAATTTCTAAACACATTAATATTTGAAAAATATATATATATTGCAATCGAACAAAAGAAGTTGGTCAGACCATTTGAGGAAGACAGAAACATAGCCCAAGGGATCTGTCATTCCAATTTCTGATAGGCTCAGTTGTGTATTTTCACACAACTTCAAATAATAACTGACTTTAATTTGCTTTCTCAGACCCTGCTTCACATCAGAGTCCTCTCTGTTTTATCTTTATTTATAACAATGTTACATACAACAAAGGGACAAAGGGAGGCAGGTACCCTAGCGGTTAAGAGCATTAGGCCAATAACCGAAAGGTCACTGGTTCGAATCCTTGAACCGACTAGGTGAAATATCTGTCGATTTGCTCAGGATAAGTGCATTTACTAAATGATGAAAATTGACAGACTTCAAAAGGTTAAAAAGGGCTTTATGTTCACATCAAACTTGCTATAACATATCAAAGGAGATTGGTGGCACCTTAATTGGGGTGGACAGGCTCGTGCTAATGGCTGGAGTGGAAAAATTGGAACGGTATCAAATGGTGTTCCAGCCATTATTCTGAGCCTTCCTCCACTGGTAGATATACAATAACATCTATTCAGGGATTCCCTCCTATATAAACCAAAACTCCCCTACGTATTTATTTGGAAAGTGAAGCTAAAACTTTGAATTTGGCTCTATACTCCAGCATTTTGGACAAATTCACGTATATGAGTATTAAAGTAGTCAAAAGTTTAGTATTTGGTCCCATATTCCTATCACACAATGACTACATCAAGCTTGTGACTCTACAAACTCGTTGGATGCATTTGCAGTTAGTTTTGGTTGTGTTTCTGATTATGTTGTGCCCAATAGAAATTAATGGTAAATAATGTATTGTGTCATTTCGGAGTGACTTTTATTGTAAATAAGAATAGAATATGTTTCTGAATACTTCTACATTAATGTGAATGCGACCATGATTACGGCTAATCATGAATGAATCGTGAATAATGATGAGTGGGAAAGTTAGGGAGACATAAAGATCACACCCCAAAGACATGCTAACCTCTCACCATTACCAATAACAGGGGATGTTATCATTTTTCTGAGGATATGATATTTATGATAAATTGAAGAAACCGTTATTGTAAATATCAATAAAACTAAAAGAATATCCGCTCTCTGCGTAGTTGCGAGCCAAATCCATTTCAAGGTAATCCCACCAATTCTCTCCATATTTTTCTTTCTCCTTGTCTTTTCTTTGCGCTATCCAGAATCTGTTCTCAGATCAGGTCCAGGGCTAGGTTACGGATGACCTCTATGGCTCCCAGGTCAAAGCCGCAGAGGTCCAGCATGCCCCTGTCCTCGGCGGGGTCAGCGATGGATAGGCCGTTGGAGGTCAACCCACACACCATAAGTTTGGAGAAGATACCCAATTTCTAGCAAAACAAAACACAATCGAGACTTACTTATAACAATGTTGCTGTACACACCATTTCTATTCATATACTGTCGATACCTTCTATTCACACCATTATATATATATCTATATATACACACAGTACCAGTCGAAAGTTTGGACACACCTACTCATTCAAGGGTTTTTCTTTATTTTTACTATTTTCTACATTGCAGAATAATAGTGAAGACATCAAACCTATGAAATAACACATATGGAATCATGTAGTAAACAAAAAAACTGTTAAACAAATTATATTTTAGATTCTTCAGAGTAGACACCCTTTGCCTTGACAGCATTACACACTATTCGCATTCTCTCAACCAGATCCATGAGGTAGTCACCTGGAATGTGTCTGTTCCTTGAACTCTGTGAAGCATTTATTTTGGCTGCAATATTACATTTTACATTTTACATTTTAGTCATTTAGCAGACGCTCTTAACCAGAGCGACTTACAGGAGCAATTAGGGTTAAGTGCCTTGCTCAAGGGCACATTAACGTCATTTAGCAGACGCTCTTAGCCAGAGCGACTCACAAATTGGTGCGTTCACCCTATAGCCAGTGGGATAACCACTTTACAATTTGGGGGGGGGGGGGGGGGGGGGGGGGGGGGGGGGGGGGGGTTAGAAGGAATAATATCTGATTATCTGAACCAAATATCTGAGGCTGGTAAGTCTAATGAACTTTTCCTCTGCAGCAGAGGTAACTCTGGGTCTTCCTTTCCTGTGGCGGTCCTCATGAGAGCCAGTTTCATCATAGCGTTTGATGGTTTTTGCAACTGTACTTGAAGAAACTTTCAAAGTTCTTGACATTTTCCGGATTGACTGACCTTCATGTCTTAAAGTAATGATGGACTGTTGTTTCTCTTTGCTTATTTTTTTGAGTTGTTCTTGCCATAATATGGACTTGATCTTTTACCAAATAGGGCTATCCTCTGTATACCCCCCTACCTTGTCACAACACAACTAATTGGCTCAAATAAAGAAATTCCACAAATTAACCTTTAAGAAGGCACACCTGTTAATTGAATTGCATTCCAGGTGACTACCTCATGAAGCTGGTTGAGAGAATGCCAAGAGTGTGCAAAGCTGTCATCAAGGCAAAGGGTGGCTATTTGAAGAATCTCAAATATAAAATATATTTTGATTTGTTTAACACTTTTTTGGTTACTACATGATTCCATATGTGTTATTTCATAGTTTTGATGTCTTCACTATTATTCTACAATGTAAACAATAATAAAGGAGAACCCTTTAATGAGTAGGTGTGTCCAAACTTTTGACTGGTGGTGTATATACAGTGCATTCGGAAAGTATTCAGACCCCTTGACTTTTTCCACATTTTGTTACGTGACAGCCTTATTCTAAAATGGATTACATTTATTTTCCTCATCAATCTACACACGGTACCCCATAACGACATAGCGAAAACAGGTTTTTGCAAATGTATTAAAAATAAAATACAGAAATACCTTGTTGACGTAAGTATTCAGACCCTTTGATATGAGACTCGAAATTGAGTTCAGGTGCATCCTGTTTCCATTGATCATCCTTGAGATGTTTCTTCAACTTGATTGGAGTCCACCTGTGGTAAATTCAATTGATTGGACATGATTTGCAAAGGCACACACCTGTCTATATAAGGTCCCACAGTTGACATCGCATGTCAGAGCAAAAACCAAACCATGAGGTCAAAGGAATTGTCCGTAGAGCTCCGAGACAGAATTGTGTCGAGGCACAGATCTAGGGAAGGGTACCAAAACATTTCTGCAGCATCGAAGGTCCCCAAGAACACAGTGGCCTCCATCATTCTTAAATGGAAGAAGTTTGGAACCATCTAGACTTTTCCTAGAGCTGGCCGCCCGGCCAAACTGAGCAATCGGGGGAGAAGGGCCTTGGTCAGGTAGGAGACCAAGAACCCGATGGTCACTCTGACAGAGCTCCAGAGTTCCTCTTTGGAGATGGGAGAACCTTCCAGAAGGACAACCATCTCTGCAGCACTCCACCAATCAGGCATTTGTGGCCAGATGGAAGCCACTCCTCAGTAAAAGGTACATGACAGCCCGCTTGGAGTTTGCCAAAAGGCACCTAAAGGACTCTCAGACCATGAGAAACAAGATTAAACTATTTGGCCTGAATGCCAAGCATCACGTCTGGAGGAAACCTGGCACCATCCCTACAGGGAAGCATGGAGGTGGCAGCATCATGCTGTGGGGATGTTTTTCAGCGGCAGGCAGACTAGTCAGGATCGAGGGAAAGATGAATAGAACAAAGTACAGAGAGCTCCTTGATGAAAACCTGCTCCAGAGTGCTCAGGACCTCAGACTGGGGTGAAGGTTCACCTTCCAACAGGACAACGACCCTAAACACACTGCCAAGACAACGCAGGAGTTGCTTCGGGACAAGTCTCTGAATGTCCTTGAGTGGCCCAGCCAGAGCCCGGACTTCAACCTGATCGAACATCTCTGGAGAGCCCTGAAAACAGCTGTGCAGTGACGCTCCCCATCCAACCTAACAGAGCTTGAGAGGATCTGCAGAGAAGAATGGGAGAAACTCCCCAAATATAGGTGTGCCAAGCTTGTAGCGTCATACCCAAGAAGACAAGAGGCTGTAATCGCTGCCAAAGGTGCTTCAACAAAGTACTGAGTAAAGGGTCTGAATACTTATGTAAATGTGATACGTTTTTTATTTTTAATACATTTTCAAAAAAGTCTGAAAACCTGTTTTTGCTTTGTCATTATGGGGTATTGTGTGTAGATTGATGAGGGGAAAAAAAACTATTTAATACATTTTAGAATAAGGCTGTAACGTAACAAAATGTGGAAAAAGTCTAGGGATCTGAATACTTTCTGAATGCACTGTATATATTTATATTCCGGACTCTGACTAGGCTTGTGCAATATACCGTTTATTCCGGGGTATTTAGCAATACTGACGGTATTATTTTCAATACCATAATACGCTACTGATAATAATAATAATAATAATAATAATAATAATATGCCATTTAGCAGACGTTTTTATCCAAAGCGACTTACAGTCGTGCGTGCATACATTTTTGTGTATGGGTGGTCCCGGGGATCGAACCCACTACCTTGGCGTTACAAGCGCCGTGCTCTACCAGCTGAGCTACAGAGGACCACACCACTGCTTATAATGTAACTAACTATAAGTTAAATATAACTATAAGAAATCTCAGATGTGTCAAATTATATCCAGCTCAGGGCTCCAGCTATGCATTTGGTTTGCTAACTTGCTAGCTAAGTGGCTAGATGTCAAGATCAAGCTTCTTGGTTACAGCAGAGACATTCAATCCCCTCCTGGATCAAAAGCCCTGTTGCCTAAATAGTTTTGTGCGTTAAAAAAAAAGGTTGGGAAATACCGCTCCTTGTGTGGACATTCGGTAATACCGTATACCCCAGTATGGTACAGAAACGGTATGACGGTATGAAAAATGTGGATACCGCCCAACTCAAACGTGTATTTTTGGGATTTGTGTGCATTGTTTATATTGCTAGGTATTACTGCACTGAGCTAGAAACATAAGCATTTCGCTGCACCTGCGATAACATCTGTACAATATTTTACCCGACCAATACATTTTAAATTTGACATGATTAAAGAATGATCAGAGCTTACAATATTTGCGGATGTGTCATGCCATTATTGCCACTTGTATGCCACTACAGTGTTGTAGTTCCATGTAATGACATACACAGCTTCATTATTACATCATTATATGGTATCTGTGCAACCAAAAAATAAGAGTTAAGAGGGGAAGGAGAGTGGTACGCCACAGAGCAGTCTCTTACCTGTCGGTACATCCTCAGACACTCCGCTGGGTTGGCCTCGCCGTGCCAGCAGGCGCTGTTGGTGAATATGATGAACATGTCCACGGTGATCCCCTTCTCCGAGGCCCACAGGATGGGGAGAGCACAGTCTGTATAGCCACTGGGGATCTGTGAACAGGTGGTTGACACAGGGGTCAGCTATGACCACGACACACAGTCAAATCAATTTCACAACCTCATGTTTTATCAGAGAAATTGATCATGTTCAGTAGGGCCCAGCGTAGCAAAAAGTATTCAAACGGAAATTAGCTTTTCTTATTACCTTTCAGTTAACTTTTAGTCAGACATCAATGTGACTAATGATTTTGGCAAGAGATCATTTCATTTTTTGCAAGCAAGCTTTCAGTTAAAAGTTTGTCATTCAGAGGTGCATAGTTTGCAGTGAGACACTGCTTGTGTCCATACCTTGACCAGCTCGGTTGCTACTTGTCGAAGAGACATGCCTTCAGTGATGGTGCAAGGAACTATAGCTCCTTCAGAGTAGGCCAGAACCTGCGTCTCTGCCTCCGTCCGCGCAAAAACCTGTAACATAGATACAACCAACTTAGAACACAATGCTGAAATAGTCCCTCTAAGATGCCAGGAATGATCATTATTTAATTGTTTTAATGACAAGTTCTCATTACAGAGCATGCATGAAATGCCTGTGCCCTTTTGAGATGGGGGCATGTGGGGAAGAATGTGGCAGGAATCCATGGAATGTGTCACCAGACCCTTTCCTTGACTATACCTTCTTCCAACTGTTAGAGACACTGCTTAGAAACACAGCTGCAACAACTAGACTAGTCATGTAGCCTTGTTTATGAGCTCATAGTGGTGTTGAGTGCAAGGTAGTGGTGCTGACTTACCATGGCCATGGCTGCAGCCGCTACAGCTGTGCTGACGGAGGTCCCCTTAACAATACTGCTCAGAGATGTGCTGACGTCCACTGCCACCACAAAGCGCTTCCCCGCCGGCTCCACGTTCTGAGGAAAGGAACACGAGTGAGGTAGCCTAGCAGTTAAGAGTGCTGGGCCAGTTACCGAAAGGTTGCTGGCTCGAATCCAGAGCCGGCGAGGTGAACAATCTGTCAATTTGCCCTTGAGCAAGGCACTTAATTGCTTCTGTAAGTCGCTCTGGATAAGAGCATCTGCTAAATGACTAAAATGTAATGTAAAAAAAACAAGGCAATAGTAAACATGTCGTCCCCCAAGAATGATGCATCCCCTTGTGCCAATTGAGAGATGGTGTGTGACTAACACACGTCAGTTCATTACTGTAGCTCCCGCCTTGGGCCAGTCAAGTTGTAAATGCCGGATCTCTATGGCAAGACGCATCATTCACCCAAGTTTCGGAAAGATTGGGCCAGTGCTGTCAGATGTCGCGTGCGACAAACGTATCCATTTCATCGCGGGGGACAAATAACGTTTCGCATTTGTGAAAACTACTCAGAAGAGTGGGATGCATGCTCTGTGAGTAGGGCTGTTACGGTGAGCATTTTACCGCCACACCGGCGGTCAAATTCAACGTGACCATTTAGTCTAGGCTACTCCAAGCTCTGGTGCTGCTGATGGTCATTAGTAGGTTACCAAACTTGCTAACTGCCTGGTACTCAGCACACTATTGTCCCTCTAGTCACTCTGACATCAATGCAAATGTGATTGAAAATCAAATCAAACACTTCATGAGCGCCCATAGGCTATGCAATTGCGTGAGAAAACAGAGTTTTGATGGCCTCTATTAAAAGGAGGAGGATCCCAACAGCTTTCTATAGGCTAGACCTACTATATTTATTTCTCAACTTTCCTAATATTAAACACATTGCTTCGATTAACAACAGGAGTATAGCCTACCTGGCTGGCATGAAAAAGAACCACAGGAAAAGTGTCCACCGTTCACTATTTAAGTACATAGATGACATTGTTTTCCCCTGCCCCTGTTCCGAGACAGGTGCATGATAACGGTCCATTCTAAATCAAAACTAATTTCACACATATAGTGAATTCGGAAAGTATTCAGACCCCTTGACCTTTTCCACATTGTCAATTTACATCCTTATTCTAAAATTGATTAAATTGTTTTTTCCCCTCATCAATCTACACACAATACCCCATAATGACAAAGCAAAAACAGGTTTTTAGACATTTCTGCAAATGTATTAAAAATAAAAAACTGAAATATCACATTTACATAAGTATTCAGACCATTTACTCAGTACTTTGTTGAAGAGCCTTTGGCAGCGATTACAGCCTCAAGGTTACTTGGGTATGACGCTACAAGCTTGGCACACCTGTATTTGGGGAGTTTCTCCCATTCTTCTCTGCAGATCCTCTCAAGCTCTGTCAGGTTGGATGGGGAGCGTCGCTGCATAGCTATTTTCAGGACCCTCCAGAGATGTTTGATCGGGTTCAAGTCCAGGCTCTGGCTGGGCCACTCAAGGACATTCAGAGACTTATCCCGAAACCACTCCTGTGTTGTCTTGGCTGTGTGCTTAGGGTCATTGTTCTGTTGGAAGGTGAACCGTCACCCCAGTCTGAGGTCCTGAGTTCTCTGGAGAAGGTTTTCATCAAGGATCTCTCTGTACTTTGCTCCGTTCATCTTACCCTCGATCCAGACTAGTTTTCCAGTCACTGCCGCTGAAAAACATCCCCACAGCATGATGCTGCCACCACCATGCTTCACCGTAAAGATGGTGCCAGGTTTCCTCCAGACGTGACGCTTGGCATTCAGGCCAAAGAGTTCAATCTTGGTTTCATCAGACCAGAGAATCTTGTTTCTCATGGTCTGAGAGTCCTTTAGGTGCCTTTTGGCAAACTCCATGCGGGCTGTCATGTGCCTTTTACTGAGGAGTGGCGTCCGACTGGCCACTCTACCATAAATGCCTGATTGGTGGAGTGCTGCAGAGATGGTTGTCCTTCTGGAAGGTTCTCCCATCTCCACAGAGGAACTCTGGAGCTCTGTCAGAGTGACCATCGGGTTCTTGGTCACCTCCCTGACCAAGGTCCTTCTCCCCCGATTTCTCAGTTTGGCCAGGTGGCCAGCTCTAGGAAGAGCCTTGGTGGTTCCAAACGTCTTCCATTTAAGAATGATGGAGGGCACTGTGTTCTTGGGGATCAAAATCCTGTATCTGAGCTCTACGGACAATTCCTTTGACCTCATGGCTTGGTTTTTGCTCTGACGTGCACTGTCAACTGTGGCACCTTATATAGACAGGTGCGTGCCGTTCCAAATCATGTCCAATCAATTGAATTTACCACAGGGGGACTCTAATCAAGTTGTAGAAACAGCTCAAGGATGATCAATGGAAACAGGACGCACCTGAGCTGAATTTCAAGTCTCATAGCAATGGGTCTGAATACTTATGTAAATAAGGTATTTCTGTTTTTTAATAAATTTGCTACAATTTCTAAAAATCTGTTTTCTCTTTGTCATTATGGGGTATTGTGTGTAGATTGATGAGCGAAAAAAAGTATTTAATACATTTTTGAATAAGGCTGTAACGTAACAAAATGTGGAAAACGTCAAGGGGTCTGAATACTTTCTGAATGCCCTTCTCCCGGATGCGTGCTTTGGAGCACACAGCCGGGAGAACGGAATTATTATTATATTCAGCCCAAGGGCACAACGGCCACTGGCCCCTTAAGGCATGATGAATATATGGCATATAGAAGCAAACCGGATGGACATTATGAAAATGATCGGAGAGGTTGAGAGTAGAAGAAGTTCAGGAGCAAAAAAATAAATATTTTTTTTATATATATAATAGAATTATTGTAAAATTAACTCTGTCCATAAGGTATAGATAGTAAGTATAGACCGGAAGTAGAGGCCTGGGCATTGTTGTTCACTAATTTACTCCAAGTAGGGAAAGGATGGTGGGGTTGAAAAGTAATAAAGGGGAGTATATATATAAAAAATTAAAAAAACTTGGGGGATTGGAAGTGATGCAGACAATTACATTGATTGAAGATACAATCTATCTGCAATATTAAGCTGATCCATTCCCCCCGAAAAGATATATATATATTTTTTTAAATATCGAAAAATCAACTAAAAAAAATAACAAATAAACATTATTTTTAAAAACAATGGCTTGACAATTACCGGCTGACAACATTTCATGACCGCCACAGCCCTATCTGTGATTATCAGTATATGCAACACTCGACTTACTGTGAAACATTTGTAGAAAGCAGAGTCCAGTGCTTTGATGATGTCACCGTCTGGTTCCCATTTCACTTTCCCCCGGTTGCCGTGGCCCCTTTTGTAGTTTTCCGAGGCCATCAAGACGCTGAAGGGGTGGAGTTTTGCCTACAACAACAACAACACAGTTAGATATATCCCTGGGAAAGCAGTATGTGAATGAACCCCAGTTGGCAGCAGGTAGGTACGCCTCACCATCTTTAAAGCCGCCTCACTCTGGATCCTCTCGCACACCGCTGCCACGTCTGAGCATCCTGGTTCCAGGAATTGGTCTGCTGTCATCTTACCCAGGGTTCTTAGCATTGACGCCATGGGCATCTCCTTTAACAATGCTTTCCATACCTGCAGTGGAGAAAAGGCATCATACAAATCAGACATGACCAAAAAACTTGAACTCTGTGAAGCATTTATTTGGGCTGCAATCTGAGGCTGGTAACTCTAATGAACTTATCCTCTGCAGCAGAGGTAACTCTGGGTCTTCCTTTCCTGTAGCGGTCCTCATGAGAGCCAGTTTCATCATAGCGCTTGATGGTTTTTGCGACTGCACTTGAAGAAACTTTCAAAGTTCTTGACATTTTCCGGATTGACTGACCTTCATGTCTTAAAGTAATGATGGACTGTCGTTTATCTTTGCTTATTTGAGCTGTTCTTGCCATAATATGAACTTGGTCTTTTACCAAATAGGGCTATCTTCTGTATACCACCCCTAGCTTGTCACAACGCAGCTGATTGGCTCAAACGCATTAAGAAGGAAAGAAATTCCACAAATTAACTTTTAACAGGGCACACCTGTTCATTGAAATGCATTCCAGGTGACTACCTCATGAAGCTGTGTGAGTGTGGTGAGTGTGGTGAGGTTGTGTTTTCTCTAGCAGGAGGTAAGCTTGGCTTCTCATATGGTGTTGAGTAAAGCTTAAACCATGTATTTAGATCGTAGGTAGGTAGTTTATTTATGTAGTTATTTAGGTAGTTATTGTAGGTTTCCGTAGGCAATTATTGTAGGTAAGTATTGTTTACGTATTGTTTAAGTATTGTTACGGCGGAGCCCGGCGAAGCACGAGGCTAGCTAGCTAGCGGGTAGCTACTGGTAACGTTTATTGGTAATTATCTGTTTAGTGCAATGGTGGAGAGTGGTTTCCAATGTTAATGTGCTAGCTAATGTGCTAGCTAGCCAACGTTTAATTTTTTTGCTGCGTTATGAAAGGAACTAGACACGGTCATGAATTATCTGTTTAGTGTGTTAACACACTTGGTATGCTAGCTAGCTAGCGGGTAGCTACTGGTAACGTTTATTGGTAATTATCTGTTTAGTGCAACGGTGGAGAGTTGTTTCCAATGTTAATGTGCTAGCTAGCCAACGTTTAAACTGTGTGTTATTGGATGCTAGCATGCTAGTTAGCTATGGCGTCATAGCTAGGCATCGTGGGCTGTTGTGGGTAGTTACTGTGGGTTGGCATTGTTTTTCGGCGGTGCCGGGAGTAGCACGAAGCTAGCTAGCTAGCCGTTCTTCAAACAAGGTCACCACAGTGGCCATTGCTAGCTAGCCAACAGACACGGACACGAATCATCTGCTTAGTGTGTTAACACACTATTGGTGGTTTGTTGTGACCAAGTGTTGGTGCTAAACTGTGTGTTTTTGGATGCTAGCATGCTAGTTAGCTATGGTGTCATAGTTAGCTAGCTGAATAAAGTGGGTTGAGTCTATTCCTTTAAACATTGAACCGCTGTGGCTCACAACAATTCTGATTTCTAAAGGCGGAAGTTGGTAGAGTTTTTGTTCGGGTGGTTCAGTGAAACAATTATAGTTTCTGAGGTAGAAGTTTTTGGTGAGGGAGGCCCTGCTCTCTACCCTCCCAGATGTTTAGTTCATTTCATTCCGATCTGCTCTGCATTATTGTAGCCATTTGCTACAGCCTGTCAACTATGCCTCTGCCTATCCCTGTTCTCTCCTCTCTGCACAGGCTACACAAACGCCCCACACCGCGTGGCTGCTGCCTCTCTAACCTGGTGGTCCCTGCACGCACCCCACACCTGGAGTTCCAGGTCTCAGGCAGCCTCTGGAACTGCCGTTCTGCTGCCAACAAAGCTGACTTCATCCCAGCCTATGCTAATCTCCAGTCCCTCGACTTCCTGGCGCTGACGGAAACATGGATTACCACTGAAAACACTGCTACTCCTACTGCTCTCTCCTCGTCTGACCATGTGTTCTCGCATACCCCGAGAGCATCTGGTCAGAGGGGTGGTGGCACAGGAATCCTCCTCTCTCCCAAGTGGACATTCTCAATTTTTCCCCTAACCCATCTGTCTATCTCCTCATTTGAATTCCATGCTGTCACAGTCACTAGCCCATTTAAGCTTAATATCCTTGTCATCTATCGCCCCCCAGGTTCCCTTGGAGAGTTCATCAATGAGCTTGACGCCTTGATAAGTTCCTTTCCTGAGGATGGCTCACCCCTCACAGTTTTGGGGGATTTCAACCTCCCTATGTCCACATTTGACTCATTTCTCTCTGCCTCCTTCTTTCCACTCCTCTCCTCTTTTGACCTCACCCTCTCACCGTCCCCCCCTACTCACAAGGCAGGCAATACGCTTGACCTCATCTTTACTAGATGCTGCTCCTCTACTAATCTCACTGCAACTCCCCTCCATGTCTCTGACCACTACTTTGTTTCCTTTTCTCTCTCGCTCTCCTCCCACACTACTCACTCTGCCCCTACACAGATGGTAATGCGCCGCCGCAACCTTCGCTCTCTCTCTCCCACTACTCTCTCCTCTTCCATCCTATCATCTCTTCCCTCTGCTCAATCCTTCTCCCTCCAATCTCCTGATTCTGCCTCCTCAACCCTCCTCTCCTCCCTCTCTGCATCCTTTGACTCTCTGTGTCCCCTATCCTCCCGGCCGGCTCGGTCCTCCCCTCCAGCTCCGTGGCTTGATGACTCATTGCGAGCTCACAGAACAGAGCTCCGGGCAGCGGAGCGGAAATGGAAGAAAACTCAACTCCCTGCCGACCTGGCATCTTTTCACTCCCTCCTCTCTACATTTTCTTCATCTGTTTCTGCTGCTAAGGCCACTTTCTACCACTCTAAATTCCAAGCATCTGCCTCTAACCCTAGGAAGCTCTTTGCCACATTTTCCTCCCTGCTGAATCCCCCCCCCCCCCCCTCTCCTCTCTCGATGACTTCGTCAACCACTTTGAAAAGAAGGTTGACGACATTCGATCCTCGTTTGCTAAGTCTAATGACACTGCTGGTCCTACTCACACTGCCCTACCTTATGCTTTGACTTCTTTCTCCCCTCTCTCTCCAGATAAAATCCTGCGACTTGTGACTGCAGGCCGCCCAACAACCTGCCCGCTTGACCCCATCCCCTCCTCTCTTCTCCAGACCATCTCCGGTGACCTTCTCCCCTACCTCACCTCGCTGATCAACTCATCCTTGACCGCTGGCCATGTCCCTTCCGTCTTCAAGAGAGCGAGAGTTGCTCCCCTTCTCAAAAAACCAACACTCGATCCCACTGATGTCAACAACTACAGACCAGTATCCCTTCTTTCTTTTCTTTCCAAAACTATTGAGCGTGCCGTCTTTAGCCAACTCTCTTGCTATCTCTCTCAGAATGACCTTCTTGATCCAAACCAGTCAGGTTTCAGGACTGGTCATTCAACTGAGACTGCTCTTCTCTGTGTCACGGAGGCTCTCCGCACTGCTAAAGCTAACTCTCTCTCCTCTGCTCTTGTCCTTCTAGACCTGTCTGCTGCCTTTGATACTGTGAACCATCAGATCCTCCTCTCCACCCTCTCCGAGCTGGGCATCTCCGGCGCGGCTCACTCCTGGATTGCGTCCTACCTGACCGGTCGCTCCTACCAAGTGGCGTGGCGAGAAGCTGTCTCCGCACCACGTGCTCTCACCACTGGTGTCCCCCAGGGCTCAGTTCTAGGCCCTCTCCTTTTCTCCCTATACACCAAGTCACTTGGCTCTGTCATATCCTCACATGGCCTCTCCTATCATTGCTACGCTGACGATACACAACTAATCTTCTCCTTTCCCCCTTCTGATAACCAGGTGGCGAATCGCATCTCTGCATGTCTGGCAGACATATCAGTATGGATGACGGATCACCACCTCAAGCTGAACCCTGGCAAGACGGAGCTGCTCTTCCTCCCGGGGAAGGACTGCCCGTTCCATGATCTCGCCATCACGGTTGACAACTCCGCTGTGTCCTCCTCCCAGAGTGCGAAGAGCCTAGGCGTGACCCTGGACAACACCCTGTCGTTCTCCGCCAACATCAAGGCGGTGACCCGCTCCTGCAGGTTCATGCTCTACAACATTCGGAGAGTACGACCATGCCTTACACAGGAAGCGGCACAGGTCCTAATCCAGGCACTTGTCATCTCCCGTCTGGACTACTGCAACTCGCTGTTGGCTGGCCTCCCTGCCTGTGCCATTAAACCCCTACAACTCATCCAGAATGCCGCAGCCCGTCTGGTGTTCAACCTTCCCAAGTTCTCTCACGTCACCCCCCTCCTCCGCACACTCCACTGGCTTCCAGTTGAAGCTCGCATCCGCTACAAGACCATGGTGCTTGCCTATGGAGCAGTGAGGGGAACGGCACCTCTGTACCTTCGGGCTCTGATCAGTCCCTACACCCAAACGAGGGCATTGCGTTCATCCACCTCTGGCCTGCTGGCTCCCCTTCCTCTGCGGAAGCATAGCTCCCGCTCAGCCCAGTCAAAACTGTTCGCTGCTCTGGCACCCCAATGGTGGAACAAGCTCCCTCACGACGCCAGGACAGCGGAGTCACTCACCACCTTCCGGAGACATTTGAAACCCCACCTCTTTAAGGATTACCTGGGATAGGATAAAGTAATCCTTCTACCCCCCAAAAAAAAATTGTAAAGTGGTTATCCCACTGGCTATAGGGTGAACGCACCAATTGGTGAGTCGTTCTGGCTAAGAGCGTCTGCTAAATGACGTAAATGTGCCCTTGAGCAAGGCACTTAACCCTAATTGCTCCTGTAAGTCGCTCTGGATAAGAGCGTCTGCTAAATGACTAAAATGTAAATGTAAGCTGGTTGAGAGAATGCCAAGCGTGTGCAATGCTGTCATCAAGGCAAAGGGTGGCTACTTTGAAGAATCTCAAATATATTTTGATTTGTTTAACACTTTTTTGGTTACTACATGATTCCATATGTGTTATTTCATAGTGTTGATGTCTTCACTATTATTCTACAATGCAGGAAATAGTCAAAATAAAGAAAAACCCTGGAATGAGTAGGTGTGTCCAAACTTTTGACTGGTACTGTATGAAAAAATGATAGTTCCACAAAGATTAAATTATATGGTGCTTATGTTTCCCATTCATCTGGCATTGAGCCATATAGCTGGAGCAACAAAAAAAAACTGCCAGCCCACATTCAGTGCCTTCGGAAAGTATTCAGACCCCTTGACTTTTTCCACATTATTACGTCACAGCCTTACTCTAAAATTGATTCAATAAATAAAAATCCTCAGCAATCTACACACAATATCACATAATGACAAAGCGAAAACAAGTTTTTAGAATTTTGTGCAAATGTATTAAAAACAGAAAAACCTTATTTACATAACTATTCAGACCATTTGCTATGCGACTCGAAATTGAGCTCAGGTGCATCCTGTTTCCATCGATCATCCTTGAGATGTTTCTACAACGTCATTGAAGTCCACCTGTGATAAATTCAATTGATTGGACATGATTTGGAAAGGCACACACCTGTCTATATAAAGGTCCCACAGGCGAAGGATTTGTCCGTGGAGCTCCGAGACAGGATTGTGTCGAGGCACAGATCTGGGAAAGGGTACCAAAACATTTCTGCATCATTGAAGGTCCCCAAGAACACAGTTCCCTCCATTATTCTTAAATGGAAGAAGTTTTGAACCACCAAGATTCTTCCTAGTGCTGGCCGCCCGGCCAAATTGAGCAATCAGGGGAAAAGGACCTTGGTCAGAGAGGTGACCAAGAACCCGATGGTCACTCTGACAGAGCTCTAGAGTTCCTCTGTGGAGATGGAAGAACCTTCCAGAACAACAACCATATCTGCAGCACTCCACCAATCAGGCCTTTATGGTAGAGTGCCCAGGCGGAAGCCACTCCTTAGTAAAAGGCACGTGACAGCCTGCTTGGACTTTGCCAAAAGCTTCTCTGGTCTGATGAAACCAAGATTGAACTCTTTGGCCAGAATGCCAAGAGTCACGTCTGGAGGAAATTTGGCACCATCCCTACGGTGAAGCATGGAGGTGGCAGCATCCTGCTGTGGGGATATTTTTCAGCGGCAGGGACTGGGAGACTAGTCAGGATCGAGGCAAAGATGAACGGAGCAAAGTACAGAAAGATCCTTGATGAAAACCTACTCCAGAGCGCTCAGGACCTCAGACTGGGGCGAAGGTTCACCTTCCAACAGCACAACGACCCTAAGCACACAGCCAAGACAACAGAGGAGTGGCTTCGGGACAAGTCTCTGAGTGTCCTTTGAGTGGCCCAGCCAGAGCCCGGACTTGAACCCGATCGAACATCTCTGGAGAGACGTGATAATAGCTGTGCAGCAACGCTCCCCATCCAACCTAACAGAGCTTGAGAGGATCTGCAGAGAAGAATGGGAGGAACTCCCCAAATACAGGTGTGCCAAGCTTGTAGCGTCATACCCAATAAGACTCGAGGCTGTAATAGCTGCCAAAGGTGCTTCAACAAAGTACTGAGTAAAGGGTCTCAATACTTATGTAAATGTGATATTTCAGCTTCTCATTTTTTATAATTTAGCAAAAATGTCTAAAAACCAGTTTTTGCTTTGTCATTATGGGGTATTGTGTGTAGATTGATGTGGATTTGTTATTTTTTTGCTGTAACCTAACAAAATGTGGAAAAAGTCAAGGGGTCTGAATACTTTACGAAGGCACTGTATACCACTGCACAATGGATTTGAATCAGGCACACTGCTATTTCAGCACTCTCTCCTGGTTAATAAACCAAAACGTGAAGAGTGGGACTACACTTTTTTTTTTTTTTTAAGCTAGCAGTGACGAGGACATCTCAACATCTGATAAATCTGAACAACTTTAATTTTGGAGAGAAGTACACCTTTAAGAGTTGGTTAAAAATATAAGTGGGTTGGTGCACACTGCTCACCGCTTTGGACTTCAGGTGGTCTGTCAGCAGTTGTTCCCGCTCCAGCTTATGCTCCTCTATTAGATGGCTGACCTCCATCTCGTCAGCACTGTGTTTGACCCTCTCAACCGCTTCCAGGTACGAGAGGACTTTGACCTCCTCCTCCGAGTTCTCCTTGTCGGTGTATGCCACCTGGACCTCCTTCCATCCTTTTGTAATGTATTTACTGATCAACGTGATCGCTGCAAGCACAGCAGAGTTGTCAGAGCATAAATTAGACCCCCAAAAAAGAATTAAACCATGTTTCCTGATACCACCAATCACTTGTTCCTTTAAAGTCTTTACTGAGATACTATTTTATTACGGATTTCATCCATGAGGGTAACCATTCTATTCCTTTTTTCAGCAACACAAAAAACATTATCCGTAGTTTAAATCTTGCACCATTTACTTATGTATATTCATAATAGTATTTGAGAGTGTGTCCATTGTAAATCTCTTGCAGCTCACCTTCGTTAGCAGGCTTGGCGTGGGAGAGTCTGAGCAGATCCTGATGCGACCAGCCCCCTCTCGTTTTATACTTGGTCACCGCCAGAGCCAGTCCCATGGCGTCCTGTTTATTGTACCAATCTGACACAGCTTTCCTCAGGGCCCGTCCCCATATCCCGCATCGCATCCCCTCCTTCGCCTCCTTCTTGTACTGGATGAAGGTGAAGAGGTGCTCGGGCACCCGGCACACGTCACTCAGAGCTCGGAACGCCCCCTGTCTGGTCTTCAGGTCCGAGTGCTGGGAGCACACAGCCAGGGCGAACAGGGAAGGGTTGGCCCTGACTGGCCTGCCCTCCTGAGCCAGCCTCTTGACCTCCTCCACCACCTCGCAGCCCCTACCCTCCTGGAGCAGAGAGAGCAGAGCCAGGGCACTCTCCATGCCCAGCCGGTGCTCCTTGGTGTCATAGATGGCCATTTCCGAGCCGTAACAGAGGAAGCGGCGGAGCCTGGTCATGTCTGTTACCTCCCATGGGTGCTCACCGACGCCAACTGAGTTTTGGGCATGGTCGTTGGCACCCTGTCCCGATGGCTCCATTGTGATAGCTCCCCTAAACTGTCAGATGGATGCAGAGACAGATGTTTCAGCTTAAAGTAACATACTTTTTTTTAAAGGACAATTGCACTGGTAGCTAGGGTGTTCAGCAAACAAGAAAGACAACTGTCTTGGTTGTTATGGTTCTAATTATGCACGCCATTGTTTTTTGTTACAACAAAAGCCTATTAGCTAGCTTACAGTGTAGACCTTGTATGGCTAGCTAGCTAATAACATTCATTCCACTGGCTAACATAGAAAATAGCCTCCTTAATGAGTAGCTAGTTTCACAGTTATCAGGTAACTAGCTAGACAACAACCACATGCTATTCACAGCAGCTGCTTAATTGTGTTATGTCAGCTAATGTTGGCTAGCAAGTTGGCTAACACGTTAGCTAGCTAGTCAGTTACTGTAGCTAGCCAACTAATAATTATCACACAAACTAGCTGGCTGGCCACATTCCTAATAGATAACTACAAGCATCCATGGGGCTAGGCATGAGAAAGATTTGAAGGATCATTACAAAAAAACATAGAATCACTGCCGACCAACTCGAGTCTCAGTCAGAGCAGTTCTGGCTAGTTTAGCTAGTGATGTTGTAGCGCTGGTCCAGATGCTAGCCAGCAGATCCGACACGCTTTCCGGTGTATATTAAGTCACTGCAGACCCGGCGCAAGATATGGCTCGGAAAACGTACCTCAATCCAGGAATGAGAAATTAGTTGTACTCCAAATTGTCCCATTATCGCAATTGTTAAACCGATAAGTTCAAGTAAACTGCCGCAGTCGTTCAATCTTCTCGGTTTAACAGTTGTGATAACTGGACAATTCGGAGTACAATGGATTTCTCATCCCTGGATTGAGGTAAATTTTCCGAGCCATATTTAGTTGCGGCTCCGCGGTGTCTTAATAGACACATGCTCCACTACGAGCATGCCCGTGGACCAATGACCGTATGGACCAGAGACAGTCTGGCGCATTGGTCAGGAGGAAAACAAAGTGCTCAATAACGTTGACCAGTATTTCGGGGAAACGACTGTGTCAGCACTCCAGTAACATAGCTAGTTACTTTGGTGATTAATGAAAGTAAATTGAAGCCAGTCACTAAACAAAATCGGGGAAAAGAGAAAGATCAAACCGCACGTAACAACCTTGACCAGAGCTAGTGATGTGGCTGCGATGATAGCTAGCTTCTGTAGTTAGCCACTGTTTGCAATACTATCTGGCCTAGCAATACGGACACATTTATAATTATCCGGTTTCTATTTTGAAGACAAGAACATCACATCGGTTAATTATTTCACTTACCACAATTTGTGAGTAGTTAATATCGTAGCTAATAGTTGATTTTCAGGTCGTATGGGCGTCACTGGGTGAATCCTACAGACTGATTACTATTACCGTTATCCTAGCATCAGGATGTCATGACAGCAAGATCGCGGATACTTCCTTTTCTTTTCATTTTTCTATAAATAAGAGTCCCTCTGAAAACACATGCCAAAGTTTGGGAATATCGAAAAATAATAATAATAATAATCACTCTAGTGCAGTACAATTGTTTTTCACAGCATTGCAATACATTGATAATATGACTTATATTTAAATAAACACTTTTAATAAAATACAAATATATGTTATTAGAATTACTCAATAGAGAAAAACTTAAATGGGTCTCGTGCTGAGCAACTGGTTGAATATAGAGTACTGATGACTCCTTACTCCACACACTCCATTCGCTGCAATGCAATACACTGCATATGAATTACATATTGGCTTAAAGAGAAACTAACTATATTTAGCTGAGACCGGTAGAAAAGTTATCTCTACAGCCCAATATTCTCAATATACCAGTGTCAACATTGTATTTTTTCATTATTGGTCTTAAAAAAACGTTTTTAAAACCATATTATTTTTGTTTTCATAAATTACTTATTGCATTTTGTTGTTGGTATAATAAAAGTGCCCATTGATTACATTTCCATTTCATTTGAATTAGTTATCCACATTGCAATGTTTTGAAAGGTTCCGTCATTACCATACAAATGACGTCATTGTTTGTGCTGCTGGCAGAATAATATTTAGTCTTGGCTAGTCATCGGACTACTATTCTGCTAGCTTCACTATCGATGACGTGACGCTCCTATGGTAATGTTGAAACCTTCATAATAAAAGGCCGCTTTTCAAGGCATTGCAAAGTGGATAACTTATTCAAAAGATACTACATTTTAATCAATGACGATTTTATTGTGCTCATAAGCAAATGCAAGACTGAATTTATGAGAAAATAAACAACATTAAAAACATTATTTTAAGACCACTATTGAAAAATCTAATGTTCAGACTTGTATGTTGACAATATTGGCTTATAGAGAAAAAAATGTTGTTTGTGCCGATGTAAAAGTTGGGGTTGAGAGTACTCAGTAGGGTCTGTAGAATCTACATATGGTGTCATTTCATGGGGCACTGAATAATCTCCACAGCGTGTTGCTGGCCTTTTACTACACCCCATTCCATAGGCCACAATGCAAATCACTGTAGGCCTACATGAAATACATATTGGCTTATAGAGAAAAAAATATTATTTGTGCCGATGTAAAAGTGGGGTAGGGAGTATTCAGTAGGGTCTGTAGAATATATATATATGGTGTCATTTCATAGGGCCATGACGTGTACATACCCAGCAGTGCTTTCTACCTATTGGCTTATAGTGAAAAAACTATTCTAGGTGCCGATGCCAGTCTACCCACTAGAGTCCCTAGAATACAAAACCGATGAGTTTGGACAAAAAGCTAGGTCATGGGGAGCTTTATGTTGACATTTGAACAGTGAGACGCATATCAGCACCATGGACAGCTGCCATTTTAGACTGTAATGTTGTCGGCCTATCTCCAAATATGTGGCCCAAAAGCATATCAATGTGATTTGATATTTTAGTCCACACACTAGTCCAGTAAGGTCTTGGATAAAAAGGGGAGGGGAATTAAGGTTTGGAATGTTAACTAGGAGGGTCTGACGTCAGGGTGCTCTTGTGCTCATTGTGCTTTTGACCCAAGTACCAATAGCAACAGGTGATTAACAAAGACACAATGGAAATATGGTTTCATCATTAGATGAAGTGCTAACAGGCAGGCATACCTATGCTAGGCATTTGTCTAGATTAGAGTGCTGCCGGACTTTTACTCTGCCCATTCCATTGGCCCCAATGCGTTACACTGTAAATTAAATCCATATTGGAATGTAGAGAGAACTTTACCTGTCTCAAATAAACTGGGGTGGAAAATAGCCAGTACACTCTTTTAGAAAAAAAAATCACGAACACGGTTGTTTTGCTCTAGGATGCCCACATGCCTCACAAGACTCATCTGAAGGTCCCAGTTGAAAAAAATGAATGGAAGTACGGTATCTGGAGACTGTTTAGTGCCAAAGATAAGGGTTTAAATGCATGTAATACATCTTTCTTATATCTCTCAGATATAGGATTGACACTTCACAACAACTTTCCTTTAGATTTTTTGGGAGGGACTATCTCTAATGGACATACACAAAATAGTCAAAATTGTTTCAGAAAATTCAAAAAAAAAAATAACAGAAATGTGGTGCGTGCATATGTATTCACCCCCTTTGCTATGAAGCCCCTAAATAAGATCTGGTGCAACCAATTACCTTCAGAAGTCATATAATTAGTTAAATAAAGTCCACCTGTGTGTGCAATCTAAGTGTCATATGATCTGTCACATGATCTCAGTATATATACACCTGTTCTGAAAGGCCCCAGAGTCTGCAACACCACTAAGCAAGGGGCACCACCATGCAAGCGGCACCACCATGCAAGCGGCACCATGAAGACCAAGGAGCTCTCCAAACAGGTCAGGGACAAAGTTGTGGAGAAGTACAGATCAGGGTTGGGTTATAAAGAAATATCCAAAACTTTGAACATCCCACGGAGCACCATTAAATCCATTATTAAAAAATGGAAAGAATATGGCACCACAACAAACCTGCCAAGAGAGGGACGCCCACCAAAACTCACGGACCAGGCAAGGAGGGCATTAATCGGAGGCAACAAAGAGACCAAAGATAACCCTGAAGGAGCTGCAAAGCTCCACAGCGGAGATTGGAGTATCTGTCCATAGGACCACTTTAAGCCGTACACTCCACAGAGCTGGGCTTTACGGAAGAGTGGCCAGAAAAAAGCCATTGCTTTAAGAACAAAATAAGCAAACACGTTTGGTGTTCACCAAAAGGCATGTGGGAGACTCCCCAAACATATGGAAGAAGGTACTCTGGTCAGATGAGACTAAAATTGCACTTTTTGGCCATCAAGGAAAACGCTATGTCTGGCGCAAACCCAACACCTCTCATCACCCTGAGAACACCATCCCCACAGTGAAGCATGGTGGTGGCAGCATCATGCTGTGGGGATGTTTTTCATTGGCAGGGACTGGGAAACTGGTCAGAATTGAAGGAATGATGGATGGCGCTAAATACAGGGAAATTCTTGAGGGAAACCTGTTTCAGTCTTCCAGAGATTTGAGACTGGGACGGATGTTCACCTTCCAGCAGGACAATAACCCTAAGCATACTGCTAAAGCAACACTTGAGTGGTTTAAGGGGAAACATTTCTATGTCTTGGAATGGCCTATTCAAAGCCCAGACCTCAATCCAATTGAGAATCTGTGGTATGACTCAAAGATTGCTGTACACCAGCGGAACCCATCCAACTTGAAGGAGCTGGAGCAGTTTTGCCTTCAAGAATGGGCAAAAATCCCAGTGGCTAGATGTGCCAAGCTTATAGAGACATACCCCAAGAGACTTGCAGCTGTAATTGCTGCAAAAGGTGGCTCTACAAAGTATTGACTTTGGGGGTTGAATAGTTATGCACGCTCAAGTTTTCTGTTTTTTTTACTTTACTTGTTTCACCTCAAAAAATATTTTGCATCTTCAAAGTGGTAGGCATGTTGTGTAAATCAAATGATACAACCCCCCCCAAAAATCAATTTTAGGTCCAGGTTCTAAGGCAACAAAATAGGAAAAATACCAAGGGGGGTGAATACTTTCACAAGCCACTGTACCTCGGCTAAGGGCTGTTCTTATGCACGACGAATCGTGGAGTGCCTGGACATAGCCCTTAGCCGTGGTACATTGGCCATATACCACAAACCCCTTTGGTGCCTTATTGCTATTATAAACTAGTTAAGTAGAACCCCCCACCACCACCACCCCCTGTTAGACAGGGTTTAGACTGTTTAGTGTAAAAACATAAGGGGTTAAATACATGTTTCGCAAAAAATAACACGTTTCCTGATCTTTCTTATAATGGAAAGGGAAAAGAAAGGGATACCTAGTCAGGTGTACAACTGAATGCATTCAACTGAAATGTGTCTTCCACATTTAACCCAACGCCTGAATCAGAGAGGTGCCTTAATTTTATATCTATCAGATATAGGACAAACACTTCCTATAGGACAAACACTTCCTATAGGACAAACTCTTCCTATAGGACAAACACTTCCTATAGGACAAACTTCATTTTTATTTATTTTTGGGGGACTATCTGTTGTTCCATGTAGTGAATCTTTGTATGGGCTAATAGCAGTAAGGTCAAAAATACTTTTTCATCAAATAATTTGTTTGTATATTTTTTTAATACTTCAAGGGGTCTTAAAATTCAAAATCAAATTGAAAAATTATCCTTGGTATGACCTTAAAACAATTCCATATAGCTTAGTAGAATCCCCCTCCACCGTCTTAGACAGGACTTAGACTCTTATGGGTCAATTTCTCATACCACCAGAGGACACTGTTGGCTAAAATATGGACTCTGTAGTGGTTTAAACGAAGCAAAAGCCAACCAATGTAAAATGGATGGCAAACTGATTACCTTAATATCACATTGTTACCTTCAACCTGCATCAGGTTTATTCTTATCAATTGTATGTCTTGATTTTTTTTAAAGGAGAGTGGATTTTACTCTCTTCTTACATAGTGTGTTGTTTTAAAGACAGAAACAGGAAGAGGACACACAGAGAAGACCATTTTAGGACCGGAGGGGCCAAGATTCGACCCCAGGCTGGCAAAGGAATCATATACAGTATGTGCCGAAGACGGCTGCCTTAACCGCAACACCATCCTCAGGCACATAGCCTCTGTCTTGTATTGCTTATCATACATAATAGCTGTGACCTCTTCTGACTGACTGAAGAGCAAGGCGTGCTCAGGTAGTGGTTATATCATATTTAGCACAGTGATCAGATTCTTATCTGCTTCTTGATTGAGAATGTGTGCAATTTAAAATGAATTGATGCTGTAATGACTGCTCTGACAATATGATGACCATTTAGGCTCTGATTATGAGAGGATCGGTTGGGAGGGGAATGGGTTAAATTATATTTGATGATGTCACACTTTGTGTGTGTGTGTGTGTGTGTGTGTGTGTGTGTGTGTGTGTGTGTGTGTGTGTGTGCGTGTGTGCGTGTGTGCGTGCGTGTGTGTGTCAATGTTCCGGTGGGATAATGTAATGTAACTAGTGAGTATAATGTAGGTCCAAAATATAATTGTTTTTTTTTTATGGCAAAGCACATCACAGTTTGCTCAATACTGCTAGCTTTTCATTTTTCTTTCAACCTCCGTGCGAAATGTATACATTCTGTAACCTTATGGTCAAGTCCAACACGTCTCCTTGACAATAGTTAGTCAGCAAGCATGAATTGGTATTCAGACCTTTAATACAAGCATAATTATCATGGCACTTGCTTCATAATCATTGTCTAAGGGCCAAGAGGTTTTGTACAGTACATTTGTATGTAATTTAGTAGCCTATGTATGAAATATACAAAAATGTACAGTCCGGTTATGGTCTGGTGTCACTTTTGGATGTGATAAGTCTCTGAATAAACCATGCTTTTGTCACTTCAAGATTAGACTACCGCAATGCTCTACTCTCCAGCTACCTGAATAAAGCACTAAATAAACTTCAGCTAGTGCTAAATTGCTGTCTCTGCCTGGCCGGCTCCCCTCTCTCCACTGGGATTCTCTGCCTCTGACCCTATTACGGGGGCTGAGTCACTGGCTTGGTAGTGCTCTCCCATGCCGTCCCTAGGAGGGGTGCATCACGTCTTGCCAGGCTTTTTTCTCGCTATACTCGACTTGAGTGGGTTGAGTCACTGACGTGATTTTCCTGTCCGGTTTTGCGACCCCTCGGGCTCGTGCAGTGGGGGAGATCTTCGTGGCCTATACTCCGCCTTGTCTCAGGCTAGTAGGTTGGTGGTCTGTTGATATCCCTCTGGTGGTGTGAGGGCTGTTCTTTGGCAAAGTGGGTGGGGTTATATCCTGCCTGGTTAGCCCTGTCCGGGGGTATCTTCGGATGGGGCCACAGTCCGTCTGTCCTATTTGGTGTCAATCTCCTGTCTTATCTGGTGTCCTGTGTGATCTTAAATATGCTCCCTCTAATTCTCCCATCTCTCTCTCTCTCTCGCTCTCTCTCTCTTTCTCTCTCTCTCTCTCTCTCTCTAGGACCATGCCTCAGGACTACCTAGCCTGACGACTACTGGCTTTCCCCATCTCTAGTCCACCTGATCGTGCTGCTGATCCAGTTTCTGCTGTTCTGCCTGCGGCTATGGAACCCTGACCTGTTCACCGGACGTACTACCTTATCCCAGACCTGCTGTTTCAACCCTCTCTCTCCCTCTCCCTCTCTACCGCACCTGCTGTTTCGACCTCTGAATGCTCGGCTATGAAAAGCCAAATTACATTTACTCCTGAGGTGCTGACCTGTTGCACCCTCTATAACCACTTCGATTATTATTTGACCCTGCTGGTCATCTATGAATGTTTGAACATCTTGAAAAACAATCTGGCCTTAATGGCCATGTGCTCTTATAATCTACACCCGGCACAGCCAGAAGAGGACTGGCTACCCCTAGGTTTCTAGGTTTCTTCCTAGGTTCCTGCCTTTCTAGGGAGTTTTTCCTAGCCACCGTGCTTCTACATCGGCATTGCTTCCTCCTTGGTGTTTTAGGCTGGGTTTCTGTATAAGCACTGTGACATCTGCTGATGATACATTTCATTGATTGATTGAATCTTGGCTGCGATAGCTGGCTATGATTGTGTTATCAGATGAGACCTTCCTGCAATGTTCAGTGTAGGTGGAGAGCCATGGTCGATGCCCTAACGCGCCACAGGGGGATGAAGAGGACTAAGGCCGCACCCCGATTCTCTACTCTCTTCCAGAAGTGTACTTGTACTTACACATGGAATTGATGTAAGCATTGGCTGGAGGAGTTTCCACATCGCTAAATCCATGATTATGTTTTTTTTAATTATTGTATAATATATATCAACAAGCTGAATTGCATGTACAACTTATTAATGGAATTATTAAATATGAAATATTACAAGTTTACTAATATACATCACCATCAATATATACAAATAACACATACACTTGAAGTCAGTAGCTTTCATCATCTGTTTATCAGGTGAACCATTCCATGTGAGGTAGTGTTCAAGTCAAGTGCACACTTCAGGAGAAAAGTAGAGAACTGGGTTGTCAGAGTCCATTTTTGGAGTGTGAGTCAGTGAGTCTCAAACTCTTCTATGTTTTCCTAAGCCCCTGCCACCAGCACACAGGTCCTTGTAGTAGTCAGACTGAATGAACCGAGGATATGCATCATTCTCCATAAGGCTACAGACCTTCCTCTGGGCACTGTCGAAACAAGATGGCGTTGGCTGGTGGAGACTCTGAGCAATGGTGTCTCTTGTGTAGTGATCGACGTTAACCTGATTTGAGAAAAAAAATGCAATAATCACACTCTACACAAGCTTAAATAACACTATTTAGACACTATTACCTATTATCATATGTCAGTCGTTCTTTGTCTAATTTGGTTTTAGATTTAGGTTACTTTTAAATCTATTTTAGTTTATTTTTTTCATGTCATCCTGGAAAGCTCAAAGATTATATTCTCCCACTGTGCAACAATACAGAGTTACTCACGGGGAATTTCAAAATATAATTATTTTGAATCTGTATAACTTTCAAAGAAAGTCACTAATTTATTATCACTATAAGGAACATAAAGTAATCTAAATGATGGTATTGTCATAATGATAACAATGTGTTTTTACCTCCATAGGGGAGTCACTTTGGATGAATTCTTCAAAAATGCCAGTAGCTTTACAGGCAAGTTTCTCTGGACTGGTGATGGATTTGAACTCTTCACAGGCAAGCCAAAACTCCAGATTCTCCTCACAAAACTCAGACTTAAGGAAGACCCGAAATGCTGCTTGTCCACCTAGAAGCGAAATGGAGGGGAAATATTTGGGTCAACTTGGGTGTACTCTGCAGTCTAGTAAAGTGTGTTTTATATATTTACTAAAATATGTATAATATGACTCCTATATATATAAACAAAATTACATTTATGATTGAGTAGTTTCTCTAAGGATTGTCCCCACTGTTTCGCCTCATCAACAGATTGCCTGCAAGAAATAAAATAACAAAAAGAGGTTGAAATATGGGAATAGTGTAATTGAATTAGTGTTGCACGGTATACCGGTACCACCGTCATATCAGAATTTAGAATACATTAGTACCGTTTCATATGATACTACCAACATGTTCGGCCCTACCGATCTAAAGAACTCGCTGTCGCCTGTTATAAAATGTTTATAAAGTCAGTGGTTTATAATTTCAGTAAAGAATGTAGTGGGTTCGATCCCCGGGACCACCCATACACAAAAAACGAATAATGTATGCACGCATGACTTGTAAGTCGCTTTGGATAAAAGCGTCTGCTAAATGGCATATCATCATATCATCATTATCATAAGCACCGGTCCAATAATGTACACTTCATTTTCATGTGCATATCACGTGTGGCAGCTGTGATCAGCCAGCCGCATCCCCTACCTGCCCTCTCTCACCTGCTTCTGTCCTTCCGCTCTTCCTTCACATCTATTCCTCCATCAGTTAAAATATATGTATAATTTAGCCTCGATAGCAAGCAGGGATGGAGACCCTGATCAGTCTTTTGTTGTTACATTTGTACATTTGATACATTGGATTAGTGCGCCGAGCGAGCAAAATTGATACATTGTATATAATTTCATCCCTGATATAACCAAGAGCACAGGCCAATCTGAGTATAGGCTTTGCAAATTCGCTGTCATGCAGCAGTGCCAGAGAGGAAAAACTGCTTCTCGACAGGTATGCCTGCAGCTTTAGAGCAAAGAAAACGTGTAAAAAAAAAATCACTCCTATAACCGGAGCTACCTTTTTTTTTCTCCCTGCTCGATTTCGTTCGCATAATCGTCCTGCTAATGATTGTTTTGATAACAAACAACGTTGTTCAGTCATGTTACCTATCTAGCTAACAACCTGCTAGCTTGACAGTAGGTCTAGGCAAATTTGATTGGCACAGGAACCCAATTTGTAAGTCGCTCTGGATAAGAGCGTCTGCTAAATGACGTAAATGGAAATGGAAATGAAAAGGGTATGCTACTCGTGAGATGTGCTTCAAAGGTATGATTGATTCATATAGGCCAAACTATATCAAAACTCTTTCTCTTTCTGGTAATCCTTATATTCTGTTTGGTGCCTAAAGTTGTTAAAGTTGGGAGCAGTGTGCGGATGTTTGGGAGAGAGTGGTGTGTTGCAAATATGAGCAAATTAGCCATTCTATTCAGTATTATGTTATACAGTGAACAGTGTGACGTTAAATTAAATATATGTTGTATTGAGTAGAAGTGTGAATGTCAGTGACAGGTTTGTTGTTGAGCACATGCGCATAACGTTTAGAAAACGGGAACAAGCGTCTGGAGGACGGCGCGAAATTGAATATATTGAAAATACATACCTGGGCATTATATTCCTTGATGAACTATGGATGAATTTGTGGAGTCTGGATTTCCAGGGAAAATGCCTGCTGATGAAATGATAAGAAAGCAGAAAGAATGTTCACAGTGTTATTTTTAATAATGTCTTATAGCACACTTATCAGTGACATTATCATTTACCATATATGTGATGAAATTATGGAAATATAATACATAACAAATATGTGCTCATAAAGCCTATAACAACTTTTTATTTAAAAAATAATAATAATTACACAATTAAATTACATCAACAACTTACAAAAGCCTTTTGGTCTTGTCAAGTTCTTCTGAGGCCGTCTCACAGCAAATATCCATTTTTGATTATTTGTGTTCAATAGCTAAATACTGTGTGCATACTCAATTCTTAAGGAAGCTCGGTGGATTCTTTATGCTCTCTGACACAGCCAAGAATACCCAAGCTCCACCTGCATCTCAATCCTGATTGGCTCTTCTCCGTAATCACGGGGAAATCTCTACTCAACAGCCAGCGATGAAGGGTCACTGAGCATTGTCCCAAGACAACAAAAGCTCAACAGATGAGTCCCAGCCAGCACATTTGGTTCCTTTGAAGTTGTGGGAATGTATATTTTTTGGTTTCAAATTGATTGTGGGAACAAAGCCATACGTTTTTTGACCAGTAAAACGAAAATGTTTTTTAAACGTTCTGAGAACAGAAGTGAACATGTTGCCTATTCTGGGAATGTTTATTTTTAGAGAGGTTCTGAGAATGTTTCACTCTGGTTCCTTTTTTGAACTCTAAGCACAGATAGGACACATGGAATTAATCATGCAAAGACATTTATTTTTACATAGCATCAGTGAGATTCAAACCTATAATCATATGTTCTCAAACCATGGATTTAGTCCACTGCGCCACCAGGATGGAGCTAGCATGTTATGTTTTTTTAGGCATACAAATCTGTTCATTTTAGTCTATTCAGAGAGACCCCATTTCAAAGGAAACAATCACTCATTAAGATCAGGTCTGGCCAATTAGTGGGCACGGCCAACACACCTGAACACACTTAACAAGATAGAAGATAGAGAGTTTTGTTGATGCTGAAAATGGAATGTATACATTTTTTAAATAACATTCTAATACCTTTCTCAGAACGTTACTAACATTTTCTTGTGGTTTTTATGGAACGTTTTCTTCACGTTCTGAGAACGGATTGTATGTTTTTAAATAACATTCTTAGAACGTTCTCTAAAAGTTACTCATGTTTTCTTGTGGTTTTTATGGATAGTTTTCTTAACGTTCTCTGAATAATTAGAGAATATGACTTTACATAGAGCCACGAGGAGACCTGTTGGAAACGTTATGCTGACGTAATGAAATTCCCACAGAAGAACGTTGTTTCTTAACATTCCATTTTAGAACATTCCCAATGTCAAACCTTACCAGTTCGAGACAAATTGAAAGGAAATGTAACTACAGTATGTTTGAACTTTTAGTAAAACTTCCTATTAAAGTAATGAAATACCAAGATTTTTTTTATCAAAGCCATCATCTATCCTGCACCATTCCCATAACGTTGTGGGAAGGTTGTATGGAAAATAACCATAGGACAACCACACTCTCACCAAGCTCTAAGAAACATATGGTTCTCAGAATGTTATGGGCTAGCTTTTATCTGATGAGAGTCACTCCAATTCCTCTCATTTACTTGCCATAGATGGGGGCACATGAGCGCAACCAGCGTCAGACCTCACGCTCCCTTTATTACTGCCTAATTACAGATGTAGGATCTTCATTTGCTGAGGATTTTCCTGCACAGCAGGAAATGCAAACTTGTAGTGTACTTGAGTTATTTGTGACTTAGAGCAATCCAAATGTTTTTGTGTATGACTTTATAAGAAAGATAAATGGGAGAAAGATGCAATATAAGTGGATGGACATGCTTTAAAGTTGCAGATGGCGGATTTCAAACCCCCAGAGCAGAGGGCCATGCATGGTCCAGAGTCGGTTTTAGACCACCGTGCCAAACTCCAGCACATCCAAGGACCGTTAAGCACTTTAAAATACATTCTATGTAAGAAATGTGCTATATAAAGATTGGTTAATTGATTGTTTAGAGAATAAGTGCGTATCTGCATGTTCCCTTTAGGATTGCAAGTGCTTTGAGTTGTCTAACTTTGTGAGCGAGACAAAATGTGGAGTTCAGGGTGTCCTAATCGACAAGGCATTTGCACCTGTTGTTTTCATCGGGGAATGAGACATAAAAAGTGGGGAAAAGGGACAGAAACATTGATAAAATGAAGTGACAAGTAGATCAGAATCTGTGTGTAGACTACTGCTATGTTGTTAGCTGTTCAATAGGCAATGTGAAACCTGTGAGTTCCTTGTGTTTGTGGCCTTTATCCAAGACGTTATCTCAGGCTATTTCGTCATCAGGTTGAGGATCCAGTTCAATCAGGTCAAGAATGTTCTTTAAATAGACTGTTTGAGGAGTTAAAAATAAACCTCAGTGGAAGAAGGTGTGGTGAGGAATGACTGGAATGTGCTCTGTTGTGTGACAGGATTGTAAACATTTGGGAGGTAGTCTATTTATAGGATCTGTGTTTGGACGTCAAACTAGTAAATCAACCATCCCAGGATACTCCACTAGAGGATGTGTTCTTTTCAATTTGCAAGGGTAACTTTATATCATGTAATTGTTGTCCATTTCTGACACTACCCTAGTTGTATAATGGTGTTTACAGTCCTTCATGGTGATACTCAAAGCTCAGGGAATGGAAAAAGTATATATTTGCATAGGCCCAGAAATATATTAACCCAAACATAGGCCTAACCGTTCTCTGTTTCCACTGTAGTAGGTTACTGTGCATATAGGTAGACAGCTATGTAGACAATGTTATTTAAGAAAAAGTCTTATTCATGTGATGATCCAGTTGACTCCAACGCAGAGGAAGTGAGAACCTGCTGATCGAAACAGGGTACAATCAGTGGAAATTCTTGCATTGATTTCCTTCAATGAAACAAGCATTGTCAATGTTCTTTGGGTTTGTCATACTGTACAATGCTTCCCTTATGCTTTGTGTACTGTATGTGGCAAGTTAACCTAGAATCACACAGTGTTCCCTTTCAGTCAGTCAACTTCGGTACAACATACTATGGGGAGTGGCACTCGTGCGACTTTGGGTTTAAGGATCTTAAAATCACGCCTGACAAGGCCAATGAAATCCGCGCCTCGCTGGAAGCCCAGCTTTCCACAGGGGATAAGAGTGAGGCTCGGATTCATTCCTTAAATTATTCCGCTCTTCACCTCAGTGTGAACAGGAACGATTCACGCTACTAAAACAAACAATTGGAAAATGAGTCTGTCTTACGTTTCGCCAACTAAACTGTCCCTTAGTGGTAGAGTGTGCTCACCACCTGGATGTTGTGTGCTCAAGTTCAAATCAAATCACATTTTATTGGCCACATGTGCCAAATACAACAGGTGTAGACCTTACAGTGAAATGCTTACTTACAATCTCTTAACCAACAATGCATTTTAAAGAAAAATAAGTGTTAAGAAAGTATTTACTAAAATAAACAGTAAAATAACAGTAACAAGGCTATATACAGGCTATATACAGGCTATATACAGGCTATATACAGGCTATATACAGCTATATACAGGCTATATACAGCTATATACAGACTATATACAGCTATATACAGGCTATATACAGGCTATATACAGGCTATATACAGGGAGTACCAGTACAGAGTCAATGTGCGGAGGCACAGGTTAGTCGAGGTAATTGAGGTAATATGTACATGTAGGTAGAGGTAAAGTGACTATGCATACAGTGGCTTGCGAAAGTATTCAAAATGTCAGTGAGCGCGATCACACAGTCGTCCGGAGTAGCTGGTGCTGTCATGCATGCTTCAGTGTTGCTTGCCTTGAAGTGCGCATAGAAGTCAATCAGCTCATCTGGTAGGTTTGTGTCACTGGGCAGCTCGCGGCTGCGCTTCCCTTTGTAGTCTGTAATAGTTTGCAAGCCCTGCCACATCCGACGAGCGTCGGAGCCGGTGTAGTAGGATTCAATCTTAGTCTTGTATTGACGCTTTGCCTGTTTGATGATTCGTCGGAGGGCATAGCTCCTTGAAAGCGGCAGCTCTACCCTTTAGCTCAGTGCGGATATTGCCTGTAATCCATGGCTTCTGGTTGGGGTATGTACGTACGGTCACTGTCGGGACGACATCATCGTTGCACTTATTGATGAAGCCAGTGACTGATATGGTGTACTCCTCAATGCCATCGGAAGAATCCCGGAACATATTCCAGTCTGTGCTAGCAAAACAATCCTGTAGCTTAGCATCTGCGTCATCTGACCACTTCCGTATTTGAGCGAGTCACTGGTACTTCCTGCTTTAGTTTTTGCTTGTAAGCAGGAATCAGGAGGATAGAGTTATGGTCAGATTTGCCAAATGGAGGGCGAGGGAGAGCTTTGTATGCGTCTCTGTGTGTGGAGTAAAGGTGGTCTAGAGTTTTTTTTCCCTCTGGTTGCACATGTAACATGCTGGTAGAAATGATGTAAAACGGATTTAAGTTTCCCTGCATTAAAGTCTCTGGCCACCAGGAGCGCCGCCTCTGGATGAGCATTTTCTTGTTTGGTTATGGCCTTATACAGGTCATTGAGTGCGGTCTTAGTGCCAGTATCAGTTTGTGGTGGTAAATAGACAGCTACGAAAAATATAGATGAAATCTCTCTTGGTAAATAGTGTGGTCTACAGCTTAACAATAGATACTCTACCTCAGGCGAGCAGAACCTCAAGACTTCCTTAATATTAGATTTCATGCACCAGCTGTTATTGACAAATAGACACCGACCGCCACCCCTTGTCTTACCAGAGGCAGCTGTTCTATCTTGCCGAGGCACAGAAAACCCAGCCAGCTGTATGTTATCCATGTCGTCGTTCAGCTACGACTTGGTGAAACATAAGATATTACAGTTTTTAATATCCCGTTGGTAGGATAGTCTTGATTGGAGCTCATCCAGTTTATTATCCAATGATTGCACATTGGCTAATAGTACGGAAGGTAGAGGCGGGTTACCCACTGTCTGCTCCAACCAATGGCACGCATGCGCAGTGTTGCTCTGGATCATGCGAACAGTGAGATCGGGGTACAGGCTACAATTTGTTGCGCATCCCCCACGCTTCTGCGGCGTCATCAAGTCGACTGTTACTGAGGTCTCAGTGCCTGTTTTGAGGGAGGGAATATCCTCCCATCTCCAGACGCGGGCAATCTGAGTGGTTTTTATGTCGGGTCCAGGACGGCTGGTACAGCCGGTACTTCCTGGTTCCGAAAAGTGGTCAGGACTTTACACCCCGTTCTAGACTTATACAGTGGGGAGAACAAGTATTTGAT